ATTATTGTGAATCATGTTCTACATGATCCACATGTAGAACATGATCCACACTTCCGTGATGCACACTGAGTATTCTGTCTGCATCTAGTTCTGGTATCCACCCTCGGAGACTGACTCAAAAGGCTTTTGTTTGACAGCTTCCATTTAGCCTAAAATAACTTGATCTCAACCCTATTTTCATTTCTCCTTCTGCCTACACACACAGCATCAACTCAGCATGCCTGGCACATATGGCTCTGAAAATGCACAAGGGGTTGGTGGAAAAACACTGGTGGGGGGATTCAGCTGTCAGTCTCCATTCTCTTTTTTACTCCTATATAATCTTGTGCTGCTTGTTTCCGTACACTGGTTGACAGTAGTTTCTCTTTTTCTTTGCTTAGAGCATTTTTATGTTATTCAACTTTTTTGAAATTATCTAGTTGTTGCTAAAAAATCTATCAAAAATGACATTAGCATCTACTGAACCACTTTCCAAACTGTATCAACCGTGTTTGGTAGGATTGAGTTATGTGTGGGTACGTGTGCGTGTGTATGTATTTTCAGAACACTGGCTGTTACTTGAGGATGTTAGAAGCATTTCTACTAGTGGTGCTGTCACAATGTGTTATGCAGCTGTATCTTGGCCCAAGCAGAAAACATGCAAGGCAAACATTGGTAGTCTTGTATGGAGCATACATAATGACACAACTGATGTCTAAAAACCTTCTCCATTAAAAGTAATTGTTTTAAATATATTGCAGTACACAAAGTACTGCAATATGGTTAATATTTCTCTTGGGCCCCAAGAGCAGTTTTTTTTTTCTTTTCATCTATAAAAAAATAATTTCTACAATTATAAAATATATATTATTGTAAAAAACAAATCACTTCATAATGAAATTGTGTGTTTTTGATATTATAATGATATAGGAATTATTACTAAAAACATAACAAAAATTCAGCTCCACTGAGGGGCCCCCGCTAAGGTGGGTGCTTAGTTTGCTTATGCCTTGGCCGGGCCCTGCACAGATGCACTAAATTTATATGTGGTATAGATCAAGTAAGCACAGATTCCCATTAGAGATGTGCGATATTGCATAAAATTCACGTCGCGACATACATTGTGATGTGTGGCACCAACAATATATAACGCAATATGATTGGTATAAATCTTACATAGAAGCAAACAAATCCCATAGTAATTGAATGGAATATATATAAGACCGAGAGAGTTTCATTGAGTTTTGCCCCAGGGGTCCTGGCAGGTCGCACGGGCTAAAGTGTGAGTAGTAAAAGCCGTACGCTTTTACTGCTTGCTTTCCTGCTGCCTGACCATGACATCTACCCTTCTCCTCCTGAGCATCACAGTACGTTGTCAACAAGCATTACCGCGGTTAGCTTGCAGTCTGGAGATCTCTATAGTTGGCCAAATTTCTATTGCTTCTATTGTATGCCAGTTATATTGCGCATTCTTACTCCCCATCAATTAAAACATTTTTAAATTTGCTGTTGGGAACCAAAATTTTCATCATCTAAGTCTGAGAATTTATTAACAAAATAGATCAACTTTACAGCTGAAATCATCTGAATACAATTCCTACCTCTAACTGCTAAAATGTGAGCTAACTATGAAGGAAAACCTTGAATAATTGGTAAAGGTTAAAATTTAACTAGTAAATGAAAATTTGAGGTGTATGTGGAATGTCAAACTTCAAAAGAAATGTTTGGATGTTACAGATGAAATGAGGTCTCTGTGAGTTGCAGCCATGCCATGATGAATGCAGAGGTTGTAAACATTATGAATCAACATGTGAAGGCTCTCGGATCGATTAACAGAAAGTCATCGTCAAACAGGAGATGAGCTGATGGAAGCAGCTTCTGAAATCCCATTCAATCTTGGGGCAATGAATGGAGAGAAGCAAATACATTGAGATGAAGAAAATATTCTGTATATGCAGCACCAATCAAGCACAAGGCAATTAGAGGGGCATTACACAAACAAGGAGCCTATTAAAATAGCAAATGCTTTATGGAAAGAAACAAAACAAATATTACTTAAAATTCACAAACTTTCAAACAATCATCAGTGATTGGCCAAACCATTATATTTTCAGTCCAGAAACATTTGTAGGAATGGGTGACATGAACTTTATCACAATATGCTTTGCTATTTATAGAGATGTATAAAATTGATGCTCCTGAATTTTGTTGCTGTGGGACAATAAATTTATATTATCCCATAGAAATATATATATTTCTAAAAACATTCAAAATTGTGTCTGCCTTACTGGCCTTACATCTGTCCTGGTATGAAGTCAAAGGCTCAAAAAACAAGCACTCCACAAAAATCCAAATTTCCATAATGAACTAGATAAAGTGCACAAAATACTTTGAAGAGACAGTATTATTTTCAGGCACATGGTGCCGTTTCAAAGCACAATCGAGGAACTATGTTACACTTTGTGTAACATAATTACTTTAAAATGTTTGTGTTCAATTTGACATATTGGCCTCTGTCTCTTTAAAGTTAACTACCACCCTGGAAAATTTTAAAAAATTCCAGCAACTGGATGGAGCGAAGTGAGGAGATGAACAGAGGAGAGGAGGAGACAAGGAGAAGAGGAGAGGAGGAGAGGACCATGGAACCAAGAATGTTCTATGGTTCCATGCTTTTACATCCGAAGTGACGAAGTTGTACCAAGCCATACCGCTGTAACCACAGCTACCTAAGAACAATTTGACCTAAGAGGCCAGTAATGAGAGTTTTTGGCAAAAATAATGCTGAACTAAAAGAATTGCACAAAAGTGTCTAAATTGCACAGAAATGTCGAGAATTAACCCTAAATAACCTATTTATTCAGTTTATCAGCTAAGATGTTGATTTGGGGTGAGTTTCACTTCAAGAAGACGAGTTTTCCTACAGCACGCCAACACAACAATCTTCAGAACTGTTATTAGGAGTTTGAAAAGGCTGTCCAAGTTGTCCAGGCTGCTGCCACTAGTCTGTGGAGCTGAATGGGATAGGGAGCTGTTTCCGTGAGGAGGAAGCAGCTGTTGGCAGCAGAAGCTCAGCAGGAGCAAAGAGAATGCCAGGCCAGGTGGAGCTACCTTGAAGAGAAAAGACACAGAAAACAAAAAGTTAAACTTTGAAAAAACAGCAAATAATTCAAACATGTGAAGTACAAAGACATGGACCAGTATGAAGGAAAAGTGGACATTAATTACTGTTCTTCCCACTGACCAATAGCTGCCACACATTTTGCCTGCTCTGTTGGAACCAAAGGCACTCAAAAGATCAGCAGTGTGATCTGAAGAGCATCTTAAATCTATTAGATGCGAGTACATCTGCCCACCAGTGGTACCTTTGTGGTTGACATGTGATGAATTGATGACTAAATGTCTCATCTTACTATATAATTTATTTATATAGTAAGCATAGTTTACAGACAATGGTGATTGGAAATATTCAATTCTATCTTCTCTCTCCAGCTAAATCCAAAATGTTTAAGTTATTTGTCAACTGCTTGAGTTATACAAACACACAATGAAATGTGTTTGTTCTACTCAGATAATTAAGATGAATGCAACATCTTCATCTATGCTTTATTAAATCATCTCATTTAGCAAAGTACAATTCTGTTCAAGTAGGTTCTCTTCTCACCACCCGCTCCATAGGATCCGGGGCATATTGTTCACAATAAGCTGAATAAACTCTACAGTGTACCTTTAAGCTGATACACAAGGTAGAGTCTGTTTAAATGAAAAATGAGAGGTTAGGTCACATCCATCTTGCAGTGAACATGTTCTGCTGGATAGACAAGAGCACCAATAAATTGTTTGCTTCTTTGGATCTGTTGTACTGGGCTTAATTTTGTTATGAGATAAACCCTTTGTAACACAAAACAAAACAACAACAACAACAGCAGAAGCAAATGTTGACATTGCAGTTTTGGGAAAGTCACAGTGCCGAAGGAAGAATAAAAATGTGGCATTTTTTAATTTATTTTTGAAGGAATATAAAGTTCTTCTAGAGTCCTATGAGAGTACAGCAGTTAAGTCTATGCCAAGACTTTGGGCCATTTCACGTATTTTCTTTTTCAAACATTTCAACATGTTTGCTGGTATGATTTGTTGTTTTATTGAATAACCCATTTTAGATTTATTTGAGCACCAAAGAACCTCATGTTTGAACCAAGAATCCATTAGAATACAGAGGAGTTCATGTTTGACTGTTAGGTGGTTCTTCAGAAAAATCCTAAGCCTTTGGTTGTGCTTGACAGAAGGCACAAGGGAGTTGTGATAATTTTGTCTTTTAAATTGAAATGGTGCTTGATGTAGTTTGACACCCAGCATTCCTTTTGCATGCTATTCTAATCGCATTGTCATAAAATAATGGATTTGACATGGTAGCCAAAGTCTGAAGTGTAATGAAGAGTATTGCTAGGTCTAACCTTTCAAACAACCTTCTAAATCCTAATCTGTCAGTCTACCGGTTTCAAGCCTGTCTTCAATGTTCTGGATTATTTCAAAGTAATTTTGCTCAGAATGAGGGAACTCAGTGTGTTTAAAATACCCTAAAACCAGTCTTCTATATGAGCTGTTCTTAGTTTCCTTAGTGCTGATAAAGGTAAGCTTTAGGTCTGAGTTGCAGACTAAATCTTGTGGGTTTGACTGGTTTTGCTTTCATTAAATTCTTAGAAATCTCAGAAAATGCCTGAGAAGTGAAAATAACTTAATTATAACAAATATTGCTCTTCTACAGAATGCCTTGATACAAGAGCATTTCTCTTAGTCAAAATGAAAAGTTATGATTGCAAAAATGTGTGTCCTATTAAATCTGGTTCTTTGCATGGTAAAAGCTCAAAGTGTCAAGATTTTAAAGATGTCTACAACACAAACATACATTTCTTTCAATACAAAGATGAATATTGTTTGTAATTAACTGGATCTTTAAATAGAAACTAAACAAACATTATGAATCCATTATCTGATGCTGTATTTTCTTTCTTTTTGTTTTCTAGAGTCTTCACTTCTCCTCCCAGGGACCTTCCTCTGCAGCCATTCTCTGATCACAGGCCTGGCATCTTTCATCCATTCATCCCTCTCTCCATTCATTTTTGCCCTGTCATGAAAGGCCTGTCCAGTAGTCGGAGTCACCATCATATGGTCTCCTATGAGCCATCATACGATCCATTGGGTCACCATGTTGACCGTAAGCCATATTTGTTCGGCCAGATGGATATGCCATTGCCCATTCCTATGCCACACCCATCTGAGTTGCCCTATTACAATGCTCAGCGTGTTTCATACCCTTCTGAAAGCAACAGCATTGTCCCATATGGAACCTTCCCACGGAGGTGTCACTCCACCTCCTCAGCTCACCATCCTGAGGTAAAGGATGAGTGTATGGCCATGGTGCCCTATGTAGGTGGAGGAGGAAGAGGGGGAGGAGGGGGAGGGGGCTATGGGGGTAAATCTCAGTCTTGGGTACCAGTAAATTTTGCGGACCCATATGAGCAACAGCCGATATTTTCCAGAGATGGCTACCACACACTGCAGTACAAACGAGGAGTGTTGTCCCACGCTGGGGGCATAGGAGCCAATGACAACAATGACAGTCCTGGGCGAATTCGCCATCTGGTCCACTCAGTCCAGAAACTCTTTACCAAGTCACATTCATTGGAAGGGCCCCAACACACTCAGTCATCAAAAGGGCCAACTAATGGGAGTGTGTATGGTAGTGGTGGAGGAGGTAGCAGTGGCGGTGGTGCAAGGGCCAGCCCAGAGGGTGCAGCTCCTCCTGGGGCAGTGCGCCACCGGAAGCGCAGCAAGAGCCGTGAGCGCTGTCGATCAGCAGAGCCCAAACATCGAAGCTACCATCATCACCACCATCCCCAGCTTCATGGCTCTGCATCTGCTCCAGGGTCTGGATACTGGAGCTCAGATGACAATCTGGAACGGGAGCTATGTCTTTACCACCCTCATCATCACCAACCTCCACCCTCACCCTCCCTCTCTATTTCCCCCTCACCTATTGCTATGACAACAGTCCAGTGCCCTGGCAACAACCCTGATAAGTATCCTCAGACTCCCCTCCCAAATCTCTCCTCCTCGCAGTCCCAACACTACTTCATCATGGACCCCTATGGGACAGTTAATGAGCATGCACACACCCATGCACGCCACGGCCACACTCACCACCACTCTGCACTCAAAGCCTCTCGGAGCAACAGCGATGTGAAATATACAGCTTCATCTGCATGTATGCCAGTTAGTGGTAACAGCAATAAGAGCGATGGCTGTATCGGTGGAGGAAGTGGCCCCTTGCTGCCACTGGGTCTTGTGGACGGGCCTGTTGAGAAGAAAGGGGCATGGTCATCAAGCCTAACGGTGAGCAGGGCCCAAGAGGTCTACACCAACACCAGCAGCCACAACCAGCTACGAACCAGCGCAGGATCCGGTAACCTAAACCTAGATAGAGCTCTAGTCAAAGCTAAGGGCAGTCAGCAGCAGGACCCTTCTTGCCAATTCTTACAGGTAAATAATTACTCCCTGATTTCAGCCCAAAATAGTTCAATCACTCCCCTCTCTCCCCTGATGCCTCCTTTTCTCCACCACCTACTTTTCTTAGCAATGTTACCTCTAAGTCAGTGCCATCCAGTCCTGTAAAGCTTTGGTTTTCCTAACTTTTCAAATACAGTCATCTTTGAAATGACTCATGCAATGTTTCAGTCTGAGAGAGGAAAAACATTCAGAAAGTTTCTTAACTGGGCGTAAGCAACTGGGCCATCTAAAATTTAGCCAATGTTTATGCTTTGTTCAGTGTGTTATTACCTTTTTTTAATGCCCTAGTGCCAAACCGAACTTTGAGTTGAATTTAACTTTGAGTTAAAGTTAAATAAATTTTTTTCTTCAATTTGTATTCATGCCAATTAAGTAAATGTAATTATTACTGAAAAGTTCATGTCAGTAGAAGCAGAAAGTTACTAATCAAACATCAAAATTGAATGAACAATCAAAATTAGACTATCAGATTATCAGGTGTGAAAACACCCTAAGCCTCCAATTAGCTCAGTGTCAAACCTCAGTGCTGCTGCTGCTGCCAAGATTGCAACTCAAGATTTTTCTTCAATTAAAGTACTGCTGTCTGTTGCTAGTGCTGGTCAAACCTCCAGCTAAATTGCGTGGCTCTTCCAACACCTGAAAAACCACTTTTCTGAATGTTTTAGATGTTTCCTTGGCTCAAAGCACCTAAATGACACGAATGGCTCATTAGCAGAGCTCAATGCTAGCTTGATGACATATTGAGGAGGTGATTCAGCCAATGTGTGTTTGCCTTTCCACTTTGATATTTCTATATATCTGAATGAGATCTAGGAACTTAATCTCATCAAACCAAACACCTTTTATGAACTTATTGCACACATAAACATGTCCTTCAGTCTCACCATCAGAGCGCTATGGCCTTCCTGGACAGGCAACCCTCAAGGGCTAACATCCTGCTACTTGTAGAAGCATCTCTGCCTCAACACACTTCAGTCAAATAATGAGGTCCTCCTCAGAATTCTGGAGAACTTGACTGCACTGATCCAGATATATACTTCAATATACTGAACCAGGGAGACATCGAAGCGTTGCAAAACACCAACCCTCCAAGACTGGAGTTCCCCACCCCTGCTATAAATTATTCACTTGCTCTTTTTTATTATTATATGTACATATTATTTACCTTGTCAAAAAAACAATATATTTCCATGTAAACAAAAGATGCAATCTATTAATTGTATTTAATATTGCAAATTTCACAAATAACAGGAAATTTTGTGTTGCTTCTGCTGTTTATCACCCTGATTTGATATTAATTTGTTTATTTGCAAAACCACTACAAAATCTGAAGTGTGACCTTTTTGCTGAGATGACATGAAAATGTCTTGATGCATTCTCTCAAATGGTGCTCACATATGCAAATTGCCATTTATTAAATTTTAATGTGGCTGAAAAAGTTGCATGACTGGATATCACTGACTCAGACTGGGGACACACTAAAACTTAAATTAATTAGATTACAAACAATATTCATCAGTCAATTAAAAAAATATGTTCAGTTGTTTACATTAGTATCTACAGAACTAAGGAGTTAGGTAAATTAATAATTGATAATGGGTATTGACTGTATTTACCCAAAGGTTTTGATGCTGGAAATTATTCTCTGGACTATTTAGCATCTTAGTAGTTTGTGAATAATATGGTGAAATTTAATACTATCACAGATCAAAAACGTACAACAAGGCACAAGGGAAACAGGACACAAAAGGAAGGCAGGAGCCAGCCTGCCTTCCTTGTGACAGGAGCCAGCGGGGAATAAAAAAAAAAATCAAAAACCTGAAAAAAGGCTGGAGAATGACATTGGGACTGGGTCAGCATAATCAGAGACATTCCTGAGAAGGGAGGCTGAGGGAAGATGAAACAATGAAGAGGAAGCTGATCACTCAAGGATCTACAAAGCAGGGAGAGATAGTCTAATGCTGATGTAAGAGAATAAACCCAAATACACAAAACAATAAATGACCAAGAAACTAAAAATGATGAATAAACTGACATGAAAAGACCCTGGAAGCAATTTGAAAAAAACAAATGGACCAAGAACTTAGTAATGATAATAAACAACAACAAAAAAACTCAAACACATGGATCATAGCAGCCAAGACTCTCCAGGGATGGAAATTGTTGCAAGAAACACATAAACTGCAAGTAAAAATTAATCATGACCTATGATTTTAGGAAAAAAGATCTGCTGTAATTTACTTTTACTGTCAAAATTATTCATAACTGGCATGCATTAATTCAAGCATCTATCCCAATTTTTTATTTTCTTTGAGTTGACAAACTAGGACATTATAACCTAGATACTAAGCTGTAGGTAGAACTGTACATGGTTGGATTGTCGTTGAACAGCTGAGTCAAAATTTATATCAATAAAGATACATTCTTAAAAATGACAAGCACAGTGAAGTATGTTTAGGCCAGTACTTCTGAGAGAGTAGTACTGGCCGACACCCACGCTTGGTGAGGTATAGTGAGAAGCAGGAGGACTTAAATATTGACTTTATTTATGGTTCACTGACAAAAAAGAACATTATTTGAGATTTAAAACAATAAATTTCTCTTCACAAAGACATGTGGCTGTTGATCAGACAAAATGAAAACACTGTCAACCATTGAACTGGGTCACGATTAATAGCCATCTTATCAATAGATCTGAGCTGATGGTCAAGGCAGCTCCTCCAGAGCTACCATGGGTCTCTTGGATGCTTCTCTAACTCAGTGTTTCTCAATTCTGGTCCTCAGGGACCCCTGCCCTGCATTTTTTTTAGGTATTTCCCTTCTGTCACACATCTGACTTGAAAAAGTGATTAACAGGCTTCTGTAGTACTTAATGACAAGGAGAGGATGTCCTGCAAATATTAGAATCAGGTATTCTGGAACAGAGACACATCTGAAGCAAACAAGACAGTGATCCCTGAGAACTGAAATACAAACTGATCCAACTAATACTCTCTCCACTTTCCTAGTCAGCTTAGATGTTCATGTTTTGGTCGGTCTGCGGCAGTTTCATCCATGTTCAGATGATGGATAGAACAACCTTGTAAGGGACTGCCTGGAAGCTTTGAAGGCTCAATGAGGATGAACATCCGCCAACACAAATGATTGCGATAAAACTATTTTGGCAGAACTAAAAAAAATGTCAAACATTCGTAAAGAAAAAAAAAAATATATATATATATATATATATATATATATATATATATATATATATATCAGTGTTCAGAGCAAAATGCATTAAAATGCAATCAACTTCAAAGCATTTTAGGATAAAGTTATAGTGTGTCCACAACACTGTAAGGTACATTGGTGCATTGTTCTCAGAACTAGTCTTGATCACTCTGCTTTTCCTGCACTTACCCAACTCACCCTCAAACTTTTTCCCCACCCAGCATCCTCCCACCCACCAACCCAATCCTTTACTTTCCTATTGGTTTCAAGAGCCATCGTCTTTCTTCTCCTCTTCCTCCTCTTCCCTTTTTTGAGTTGAAAAGAGAAGTAAGTGCAGAGCCAGTAGTAGCCTTACTCTCTAAATACTAGGTAATGACATTACCTCACAAAGAACAGCATTAACTGTTTGTAGAGCTCATTTTTAATTTAGAAGGCCTCTCTTCTTGCCTTTGTGTCAGTTATTTTGTGTGTCTTTCATGGTTTTATCTTCAACAACTTTTTCTTGTTCAGAATTCTGGAATGCATCATGTTGGATTTAGTGTTTAAAGTTAAATTAAATTTCAGAATTATTTGCTTTAATAAAGTGACTGTAGTTGGGTGAGTTGTGCTTTAATAGCTGAAACCTTTATTCTTTCTATACCTCATACACATGAGGTAAAGAAAGAAATAAGCTGTTGTTTATTTCACTCCAGCAGACTTATGTCTTAGAGTAATGGTTCAATTTGTTTGGATATCTACACTTGCAGAGTGGGGTGAAAAAGTATTTGCCTCCTTAGAGATTTCTTCTGTTTTTGAATTGAAAACCACTTCAGTTTTCAATTTATCAGGCTACTTTTAATATTGGCTAAGGATCACCAGGGGGAAAATAGAATGATTTCAAATGACTCATTCCTTAAATAAAAAGGCATCAAACCTTAGCTGTCAATATCTGAAAAAAAAAGCCTCCATGAATGACCATTGAGCAAATCTTGACAACTTGGAACCTCTCTTCAGGCCATCCTCTTTCAGCCCCCATGCCACTGTCATATTGTAAAGGAGAACACCTGACCTCCTTCAACTCAGAAAAATATGGTTGTTCATTTGTAATTTTTGCAAACTTCCAAAACCTTTAGTGCACGCTCCCATTTACCTTATTTATTAACAGATGCAGTTTTTAGGGAATGAAGTTGGAGGGGAATTATGTCTCAATAAGACCTATAAATTAATAACCATCTGTGTTCATTTGAACAGTTACAGCTAAAATATGCATTTATAGGTACCTACAGGCTGCAATTGAGGAATTATATAAGACAAAATATTCTCACATTTGAAAGTCCTGTTTAAGAGAGACTGGGGAGAAAGAGAGATAGACAGAAAGTGGGAGTATACACGGGGGATTAAGAAATAAACATAAGAAGGAATAATTAGACAATGATACATTGTTGCAAAGCCATTAAAAAATGAGGTTTTTGAGTGGCGTAGCTAAAGTGTGGACTTAAAATCAATTCAGATATTATGGCATGACCATAGACACATTAATAATAGAAATCATTCAACATGGCTGAATTAAAACGTTAACCATTAAAACATCTGTCATAATTTAGTATTGACTTAGGAAACTTATCACTTATTCACTAAAACACAGTTGTAGTTCCTTATTCACTAAAACACAGTTGTGGTTCCTTATTCACTAAAACACAGTTGTGGTTCCTAAAGTTGTCACAACCAGCTATATAATAAGTTCAGGGGCAATTACTTTTTCGCATACTATTTTCTGTAACTTATTCAATACCAACATTTGTGTTATGATCTGAAACATAAAAAAATTAGGACAAAACAACAACAAAATAAATTCGTAAGGGGGAAAATAGTTTTTCTTAACACTGTCTTCAAGAGTCACTGTTAGTTTAAATTTTCTATGTGTTCGACTCTCTTGCTTTATTGACTAAAACATAATATAGAATAGGGCAGAATAGAGATACTGACAGAACCGTAGTGCAGGACATTTAGCTGTCATTACATTTTAATGCACATATTACATTTTAAATAGGTGATTATAGAGCAGATTGTTTTTCTTGACTTACTTTGAACTGATTAACATTTTTTGTACCTTCAGACTTTACACACTTTACTGCTCTCCAGTGTTATTTATTATGTTGTCTACAAATTCTCTTCTGCATCTCAGCTGCGGAGCTTCCAGCTTCACCTTCATTTACTTTAAATGCTGCTACTTTAGGCCATAAAAACACGGTTGCCAAGGGAACATCAACATTCTGTGGCTTATATCACACAGCTGATTGGTAGAACTATACACCAACTCAGTGGTAACATCCTATGTTCAAGTAATTATTTATAGAAATGCAGATAATTGTAGATGGAAAAGATAACCAGAATCTCTCATGCAGCAGTAGAGTTACTAACAGCAGCCCTGTTTCTCAGCAATACAGTAGACTGAGTGTCAAGCTACTGTGGATGTAAAGCCAGTGCGTGGGTGAGAGGCACTGCTGATAATACTGCAGCTGGTCCTTTCTCTTTTTATAGCCAAACTGCTCATTTGTGTCTCTTTGACGTCACATACATGCACAGAGAAAGAGATAGATATTTAACTCAACAAATCTGTTCAGCCTTTCTGTCAATGAATCAAACCCATTTTCTGTAATTCATCAGAATAACATTTAGTCTTCATTCATATGCAACATAAAAGAAAAAAGAAACAATGATATCTTGTTGTGGGGAAATACAACAATAATAAAGATATAATGAAAGACTTTCATCTTCTCAACAATATGCAACGCTAAATCAGAAAAGTTTTGAGTTCAAATACATACAGTACACACTCAGTAGTGCTTAAAGGCTTTCTTAGACAACAAAATTAACTTCAGTGAAGCAGATGTTTGAATTAGCCAGAGAGAAATTTCCAAACAACCGCTGCACATACTGTTCTATGCTAATTAGCCAGCAGTTTCACTGTGCTGCAGACAATCTGTCAAGCCATGTCCGTGAGAGAATCAAGAATGCAGGAAAATGTGATTAGTTTAGGTTTTTTTGGATGCTGGATCATTCTATTATCTTTTTGCCTTTAATAGTTAGTGGATGGTTGTGTTTCAATGTACAGCAAGGACAGCTTAGTGTGCCAGTTTGGTGGCTGGAAGTCAGAGAGCAGAGGATAACATCTTCCTGACAACACTTAAGTATTTTATTTCTTGTTATCAGGTACCTCAAGATGAGTGGAGTGGTTTTTCTCCTCTGGGGAAAGAGGATGACATTCCCTGTCGAAGGATGAGGAGTGGCAGCTATGTGAAAGCTATGGCCGAGGATGACAGCGGAGACTCTGATGGAAGTCCCAAACCTTCACCGAAGATGCAGGCACGTCGTGCCAGCTACCTTAAAGCTACACAACCGTCACTTACTGAGATGACCACACTACAGTAAGATTTCTACATTTCCTCCTTTCCAAGTAGATCATTTGAAATAAATTTCTGTTTCATTCAAAGTGATTATTCATAATGATTTCTGTTTTAGTCTATTGATGTGCAAAGGATCCTCCTGATCTACGCTGGTCTGGTTCACCAGACAGAATGACAAAATGAGACATTAAAATGTTGCAAATATCAAATATTAATATCCATTTCAGCATATTAACTTATGCTTAAATGGAATTACTTCTCTGCATCCTATATTTTGTTTTTTAGACAATGCCATCTTTCCGCAGAAAGCCTCCTTACAATGATGTAATTTCCATTCAGGAGCTTTTGACATCTGCAGTTTTGAAGTTTATTTGTCTCGTGAACAGTCTTTAAAAAATTACATAATTCCTCATTGCTTTGGGTAAATGCTTCAGATTCTTGTCGTTTGAAGTGAAAACAAACTACCTGAAGAAAGATTATCAAAATTGCATTTCTGCTTAAACAACTGCCATCAGCGCCTGACCAATCACAAAACAACTCACAGAGTTCTGTACTGGACGGTACATTGTACCTGGGCTCAGCAGCAGATTGGCTCCATGCATTTGTGGTGTTCCTTGAAGTGAAGTTAATGTCAAGCTTGATTTTGTCAGAAATTCAGTAAAAAACAATAAGTCCAAATGTTTGCCTTCATTGAAGAATGATTGAATCCCTCTTTCTGTCATGTTTGTAGTGACATGGTTTGATTTAGCTTGCGGACCCACATGCAGAAACCACACACTGGATGGAAAAGGTAAGTAGTTTATTACAACTCAAATGAATTATTTTGGTCTGCCAGACTTCGGTGGGGGAGGGGAAAGCGTGGGTCGCCCGACCAGGTTGGCTTCAGTGGGGGTCTTCTGAGGCGCGGGGGGTGAGGTGCTGAGATCCAGCGTGAAGGGGTGCAAAGGAGCCGGAGGATAATACGAGGAGGGAGACGGCGGAATCGGCGGAGCAGGCAGGCAGGAATTCACAGGTGGGTCCTCAAAGCAGGAAGACAAAGACTCCTAAAGGCAACAAAACACAGAGACCAGGTAACTTCGAGTAGCACAAAAGGTTCCAGAAACAAGTTCACAACAAGTGGGGGCCAGAGAGACTACCGGAATGCGTAACCATCTAGCGATGACTGGAGGATTCTGCCGCTCCTATATTCCAGCCTGCTGATGAGGCAGATTAGCTTCACCTGCGCCGGCTCCACAGACTCCTCACGAAGATCCTCGCTGCGGGAAGATGTCACACTCGCACTCACTCTCATGCACACGCTCTCACACAGGATCCCTGACAGTACCCCCCCCCTCAAAGACCGCCACCCGGCGGTCGGGAAGAAGACGAGCCACGGGAGGCCTCGAAGTCCCTAATAAGGTCGGGGTCCAGAATAAAGGATCGAGGAACCCAAGATCGCTCCTCGGGCCCATAACCCCGCCAGTCAACCAGATACTGGAAGCCCCGGCCACGCCGGCGAACATCCAAGATAGCCGAAACATCATACGCCGGATGCCCATCAATATCCCGGGCGGGCGGCGGGGGCTCGGAAGGAGGGCAAAGAGGACTAGAACGGACTGGCTTGATGAGAGAAACGTGGAACACAGGATGGATCTTCAACCCCACGGGAAGGGCCCGTAGAACGGCAGAGGGGCTGATAACAGAAGTGATCTCGAAGGGACCAATGAAACGGGGAGACAATTTGCGGTTAGAAGATTTAAGGTTGATATCTCGAGTGGAGAGCCATACCTCCTGTCCGGGTGCATACGCTGGTGCTGGCCTCCTTTTTCGGTCTGCCCATCTTCGATTTCCCTCTGCCGTGCGGTTGAGGGCGGCGGTGGTCTGCGCCCAGATGTGCCTGCAACGGCGGAGGTGGTGCTGGACCGAGGTGACCGATAGCTGCTGTTCGTCCGATGGGAACAGGGGAGGCTGGTACCCGAGAGATGCTTCAAAAGGAGAGAGGCCTGTGGCAACAGAGGTGTGAGAGTTGTGGGCATACTCTACCCATGGCAGGTGTATACTCCAGGTAGAAGGGTGCGAGGAGCAGAGACATCGGAGTGTAGCCTCCAGCTCTTGGTTCAGTCGTTCAGTTTGGCCGTTGGTTTGGGGGTGAAACCCCGAGCTGAGAGTCACCTTAGCTCCCAGAGCTACTCCGAACTCTTTCCATACCTTGGACACAAACTGAGGTCCTCTGTCCGATAAGATCTCTGAGGGAATGCCATGAAGGCGAAAAACATGTTTGGTGAGGAGATGGGCTGTCTGCATAGCAGTGGGAAGTCTGCGTAATGGAACCAAATGACAGGCCTTGGAGAAACGGTCAATGATGGACAGAATAGTTGTAAAACCCTTTGAAGGCGGCAAACCTGTTACAAAGTCCAGTGCTATGTGAGACCAAGGGCGTTTGGGGATAGAGAGAGGTTGAAGTAGGCCGCTGGGGGGCTGATTACTGGTCTTATTACGAGCACAGATTGGACAGGCTAGCACATAGTCCTTGACATCCTTGTACAAGGATGGCCACCAAAAGTGCCGCCTGATCAAGGAAACCGTTCTGTTAACTCCCGGGTGACACGAGAACTTAGCTGTATGGGCCCAATGAATGAGGCGAGCCCTGACTGTCGATGGAACATACAGCCTGTTAGACGGCCTGGTCACTGGACCGGGTTCCGACTGTTGTGCTGCCAAGACTTCCTCCTTGATGTCCCAGGAAAGGGCGCCAACAATACTGGAAGGGGAAATGATGGTCGCAAGTGGGGTCTCTTGATCCAAGGAGAACTGTCTGGAGAGTGCGTCAGGCTTTGTGTTCTTGGACCCGGGTCTGTAAGAAATGGTAAAGTTAAACCGGGAGAAGAAAAGGGACCAGCGAGACTGTCTGGGGTTTAGTCTCCTGGCTTGTTGGAGGTAGGCGAGGTTCTTATGATCAGTCCAAACAACAATTGGGTGCTCGGCCCCCTCCAGCCAGTGACGCCACTCCTCAAAAGCCAGTTTGATGGCCAAAAACTCCCTATCACCGACATCATAGTTGCGTTCGGCAGGTGAGAAACGACAGGAAAAGAAGGCACATGGATGCAACTTATCATCAGTGGATGAGATCTGTGACAGAACGGCCCCAGCCCCCGTATCAGATGCATCCACCTCGACCACAAACTGCTTCGATGGGTCGGGCTGCATGAGGATGGGTGCAGCAGCAAACCTCCTCTTAAGGTCTAGAAAACTTTGCTCAGCTGCCGGCGACCAACTAAAACTAGTCTTGGAGGAGGTAAGGCTGGTCATAGGAAGGACTGTCTGACTGTAGTTCCTGATAAAACGTCGATAGAAATTAGCAAAACCAAGGAATCGCTGTAGCTCCTTTCGGGAGGTGGGCGTGGGCCAGTCTAAAACTGCTGGGACCTTGGCCGGATCTGTCTTCACCTGCCCGCTCTCCAACACAAAACCCAAAAAGACCACTGATGAGACGTGAAACTCACATTTCTCGGCTTTGACGAACAGTTGGTTCTCCAACAGTCGTTCCAAAACTAGGCGTACGTGTCTCTTGTGTTCGGCCAGTGTTCTTGAAAAAATTAGGATGTCATCTAGATAAACGAAAACAAACTGATTCAAATAATCCCTGAGAACATCATTGACAAGAGACTGAAATACAGCTGGGGCGTTAGTAAGACCAAATGGCATCACCAGATATTCAAAGTGACCGAGTGGGGTCCTGAAAGCGGTTTTCCACTCGTCGCCCTCTCGCATTCTGACCAAATGATATGCGTTCCGGAGGTCAAGCTTGGTAAATATGGTGGCTCCCTGAACAAGCTCGAATGCCGAGGCAAGTAATGGTAGTGGGTACTTGTTCTTAACCGTAATTTGATTTAGCGCCCTGTAGTCAATACACGGTCGAAGTGTTCCGTCCTTCTTACCTACGAAGAAGAAACCTGCCCCCAAGGGCGAGGTTGACGACCGGATCAATCCAGCTGCCAGGGATTCACTAATGTACTTTTCCATGCTCTCACGTTCTGGTTTAGATATATTATACAATCGGCTGGTGGGTAATGGGGCTCCTGGAAGTAGATCTATTGCACAATCGTACGGACGATGAGGTGGGAGAGAGAGAGCTTTAGACTTACTGAATACCTGGTGAAGGTCGTGGTAATCTGATGGTACTCTGGCCAAGTCAGCTGGAGCGGGTTCCTCAGTAGAGCTGGAGACGGCTGGAGGTAGAGCTGAGTGAAGGCATGAAGACAAACAATAGTTACTCCAAGACTCCACCCGACTAGTCCTCCAATCGAGGTGTGGATTGTGACGGAGCAACCAGGGATAACCCAGAACCACAGGAGACTGAGGAGTAGGAAACACAAAAAAGGTAATGGTCTCCCGATGGTTTCCCGACACTAACAGTTCAATAGGAGTTGTGCGATGTGTGATGGCAGGTAGAGCCTTCCCATCCAGGGCCACGACCGGAACTGGATCTGGTAAGAGAACCGTGGGTATTTGTAATTGATCGACCAGATAATTATCAACAAGATTCTGTTCACAACCGGAATCCACAAAAACAAATGTCTGAAATGATCGGTTGCCGGTGAGCAATGAACAGGGTAATGTGAAACGGGATACAGTCTTTGATCCGCCCACCACCGTTCCCGTAGCTAGTGGCGGGCTCTGGCTTTTACCAGGTTCGGGCAGTTGGCAACATAATGCCCGACCTGGCCACAGTATAGGCAGGCTCCAGACCTTAAGCGGCATTGGCGCTCCTCCGGCGGAAGTCTGGTCCTCCCTATTTGCATGGGCTCTTCCAAGGTCTGATTGGTTGGAATGGGACTAATGTCGGGACTTGGGCTGAAACTCGGTTCCTTCTTGGCTCGGGCTCTTTCCCGGATTCTATTGTCTATCCGAATAGCCAAGGCAATGAGGCCCTCCAAGGACCCAGGCTCATCCCTGAGGGCTAGCTCATCCTTCAACCCCTCGTTCAGAGCCTGAAGGAACGCTCCTGTTAAAGCTCCGGTGTTCCATGTGGAAGCCGCGGCCAGGGTTCTAAAGTCAATAGCAAAGTCCGCCACTGTTTGATGACCCTGCTTTAAACTCAATAGTCTGCCTGTGACTCAGAGTAACCAAATGTCTGTTTAAACTCTAACTCAAATGAATCATAAGTTCTCTGAAAAAGACTGTGCTGCACCGACCTAGCTTCTGCCCATTTTAGTGCTCTTCCTCTGAGGTTCCCCTCAACAAAAGAAATCTTGGCCGCATCAGTCTGGAAACTCTGAGGTGAGGAGGAAAACACTAAGGAGCATTGTAGTAGAAATCCCCTGCATTATCGATCTCACCTGAGTATGGTTCTGGCGTGGGTGGTGAAACCCTTCGGAGTTGAGCCGAAGCGGCAGGCGCTGGTTCCGGAGCTGCGGAGACGCCATCTTGAACAGTGGAAGGGGGAGCAGCAACTGGTGGCGGGCCTGCTGGGACAATTCTTTGGTGCAGAGCAGTGAGCATTTCAGAAAATTGCTCCAATAGTTGGTTAGTATTACGTTGTTGGTCATATAGTGCATTGAGCATGGCATCGTGGCGAGCAATGAGAGCGTGCTCCAAACTAGTGTCATGTGATGGTCCTGCTGGGTCTGATTGGCTAGATGGTTCTGACATGGTTTGATTTAGCTTGCGGACCCACATGCAGAAACCACACACTGGATGGAAAAGGTAAGTAGTTTATTACAACTCAAATGAATTATTTTGGTCTGCCAGACTTCGGTGGGGGAGGGGAAAGCGTGGGTCGCCCGACCAGGTTGGCTTCAGTGGGGGTCTTCTGAGGCGCGGGGGGTGAGGTGCTGAGATCCAGCGTGAAGGGGTGCAAAGGAGCCGGAGGATAATACGAGGAGGGAGACGGCGGAATCGGCAGAGCAGGCAGGCAGGAATTCACAGGTGGGTCCTCAAAGCAGGAAGACAAAGACTCCTAAAGGCAACAAAACACAGAGACCAGGTAACTTCGAGTAGCACAAAAGGTTCCAGAAACAAGTTCACAACAAGTGGGGGCCAGAGAGACTACCGGAATGCGTAACCATCTAGCGATGACTGGAGGATTCTGCCGCTCCTATATTCCAGCCTGCTGATGAGGCAGATTAGCTTCACCTGCGCCGGCTCCACAGACTCCTCACGAAGATCCTCGCTGCGGGAAGATGTCACACTCGCACTCACTCTCATGCACACGCTCTCACACAGGATCCCTGACATGTAGTTTACTATTTTATGGAGGTTCTGCTATGGAACTTCTCCAGATGAATGTAAAGAGAAAAAATCTTCATAAAATGAAGAACATTATTTAAAACCCTGAACATTTACTTCATCAGACCGCTATACAACATCAAATCTCTTTTGGTCAAAACCGTAATACTGACTGCTACAGGAGATCCTTCCAGCTCACAGCCATCTGCATTTACAATAACTATTTCAACAAACTTTGATAATATGAGTGCTAACAACATATAACTTCCCTTTTGGATTTAGTATGTATTTTGAAATTTGACTTTAGTGAGCAGGTTAAAACTGTCTTTCTGAATGTTGGTGAGTGAAATCTGTCCATGTATGGTTTATTGCTCCTGCAGTTTTATTGATCACCACACACTGTGTTACTGACATGTTCTTTGATTTGTCGGACCTAAAATTAAAGTGTAAAAGAACATCATAAAATACAGAATGTTACATTTCAAACATCTCCTTGTGAAGGAAGGTGATAAAAACAGAAAACTAGTCTGCTACCTGGTCATCTTCAGTTTCATTAGTGTTTGACGATGGACTTTGTTAAACTAAATAAAGCTTTTCAGAGAATTTGACCTTCTTTTAGACTTTTAATGCTGCATTAACACACAGCTTAGTGAATCTCAGTTGAAGCCTTTCATTAAAGGACAGAATGTTAAAACAAGGGAATAATGACAATCTGTCAGATGAAAGACCTTGAATTTATTGTCCTAGGTAAATGGAGATGTTAAACATATTGGTTATATTAAAGCAATACAATTATGTAGAATTTTATCATTTTAATAAAGCACACGTGAGCAAAATAGGATGTCTTGATTAAATAAAATCAAGACATCCTAGCATCTTACAATCTCTGAGGTGCAGATCAATATTCCCCTCTTCCAGGCACTTATTCTCAAGTTGTCTTTGATCAATGTTTGCATATTCTTGTATAATTGTGGCTCTAGTGTACGATATAAATTGAGCTTGTTCACCATTTACTTTATTTGAATGATTAGCAGTAGGTTTGAATAACGACAAAGCAATGCATGAAAGCCTTCAGTGTTAAGGGGTTATTTTAATGTGATAATCACTTTCTCTGTAACCAAAATCAATAGAAAGTAGCTCAGCTAGTAATGAACCCTGAAATTGAACTCAACCCCATTCTCCATCACTTCAGGTGTGGTCTGACTGCCAAGACTTTCCTTTCTGGACAGTCAGAATATTCATTTTATAAAATGAAGTGCTTTTTCCTCCCCTACTTATCTAACATGTTTGCTCACAAAAAAGGAATTATTAACATATTCTTAAGAAGGTAGTAAATGCAATTATGTTGGTAGGTGAAGATGAATGGGACAGTTTCTGAGATAACCTGATGTCCCTCTGTCAGAATTTCTACAGAGCATTCCCCCAAACTGCAGATCAGGAGTCACAGTTATTTGCGTGCTGTGAGTGAGGTTTCAATCAACAGAAGCCTGGATACACTGGATCCTAAAACTCTCCTTGACCCCAAGTCACTGCTGTCTTCACCCCAATACCGGTCACGCAATGAAAGCTACATGAGAGCCATGAGCACCATCAGTCAGGTTGGTTTCCAAGCATTTGTTACTTACACTTTTTCAATCTAGTTATGCTACTGTGTACATATAAATTTGAGGGAAGCTAACATCTGTGATTTAATTTTCATAATCTCTGATTTGAAAACGTTAGTTGTGGAATCTGACTGATTTTACCACATCTTTTTATTCTATCAAATAAAGATGATGCGAGATTTTTTTTTGTTTCCAACAAATTGTTACCTTTATGTTAGGCTGAAAAAGCCACTATATTGTTCTGACAATGTGTCACTTAAAATGCGGATAGCTCCATCACATCAGGTGTGGTCTCACTGCATTAGTGGCATTAGTTTCTAAAGGGAATATCTGACTGCACAAACAACTTCAGTTCTTAATAAGCTAGCTCCAGAGCAGATTATTAAACAGGTAGGCTAACATTAGTAACTTACCACTTTTAACCCATCATACTATAGCTCATATTGATAACTGTATGTGGACAAAGTTTCTTTAAAAGGGAATTTTTCTCCCTGTTCAGGATCAGCAAATGCAAAATAATGCAGATAGAGGTGCTTGCTATCAACTGATGGTATTGCCTAGGATGTGTTACTCTGAAATAGTATCTCTGCCACCTGGAAACTCTGGCAATAGCATAAAATTGCAATCACGAGTCTGTCATACAGCCCTGGTCTTAAGTCTGAGGCCTTTTAAGATTTTTTACAAGTAAATGGAGATCCTTTCTGCCTCCCGTGTCACCCCCCACAAAAACTCTTTGAGGATATATGGATGATATGACAACGCTTAATTTACCCATGCTTAATTTACTCAATCAAATATTTTTGCATTTAAATTAATTCAACTGAGTGGTTGCACTATTCGTTGCAGCAGGAAACTCCTGATTTCAAGTCCTGTCGGAGGTCTATCTGCATGGAGTTGGCAGAGAATATGCCAACTCCATGGACTTTCTCAGTCACTTACATGACAATTAATTTGTCTCTCTAAATTCTAGGCGTGAGTGTGTGTGTACATGTTTTTTTTTTGTGTGTGTGTCTGTCTCTGTGTTGTCCTGTGATGGACTGGCAACCTGTCCCGGATTTACCCATCCATTGACTGGTGGAAAAAAGGCACCAGCCCCCCTCCCTATCATAGAAGAGTAAAAGTTTAGATAATGAATGGATGATTAAAATGAATGCTTTGTTCTGGGTTCAATAGGATTTAAGCTGCATCAACCGGAAAGCTCTCTGTGTGAGGTCAGTGACCCTGAAACAGCCAAAAAGCCAGATTTGATCAATAAAACAAAAAGGAGGAACTATATTGCAGTTTTGTAAGGTAGAACATGGTTGTTGTAATTAGTAGCTGGGCATGCAAGATGTGATGTCACACCTTAAAGGAGGTTGTGGCTGATATGATCACAGATAGCAGACCTACAGCAGGTATCAGGATCTGGAGTTAGCATGGACTTTCTATGTTAAACTTTTAAAATCAGATGACACCTGGGATGCAATCGAGACATCTCTATCTTTAACGTGTGGACTATTGAAAGTAAAGATATAGCATAGAGTATTATTATGCAGGAATTCCATTTATTCAAAAGATTTAATTTTAGTATTATTTATTAAACAGAAAATTTCTGATCTGTTGGTTCCAACATCATATTATAGAAATGTTTCTGTGTGGGAGTAATTTTTTAAAAAGCCACCTGGAATTTGCCATGTTGCCATATTGGCTGGAGTTTTACTGGTCTTGCCCTCTTTCTTTCTTTTCTATAGCTGAGTGAGGTTGAAGTAAATGGGCAGATTGAGCAAGTGTGTGAGCAAGTCTATAGCGAGATGCAATCTCAAGCTATGGATGCAGGCATGGATAGCTTGGAAACTATGGACACCCTGCCTATGCCAGGTTGCTTCCGTATGCGTAGCCCCAGTTATGTGAGGGCAATTGACCAAGGATGTACCTCAGAGGATGAAGGACCAGGAGGAAGACCTCTGCTGCTACTTCCATCCTCACCACCACGCACAACTGCCACAACTGTCAGGACCATCCAAAGCAGCACAGGTGAGTGGCGATATAATAAAATAATAATAATAATAATAATAATAATAATATAAACTTGAGCTTGGAGTTTTGATGTCAATTTCCAAAAGAAAATAATATGGTTCTTGTCCTCATGAACCCATTGACTTAAGTGTAATTGTTTTGAGGGTAACAGTTAAGGGAAGAGAGATGAGAAGGAAAAGACACAAGATGCACTGGACGTTGCAAACGAAACAGAACATCCATGATTCCATCCATCATAAAGGGAAAAGTGAGATATCTTCCCATTAAAGTGGATGAGCTGGCAGTAACATTCCATCAAAGGAGTTACTAGAAGTTCTGCTTCATCTACCTGACTGAGAAACATGCAACTCTGGACTCATATATAAACATGGACAGCTTTCAGACAGAACCAGGGAGAGCAGTAAGAAGAAAGGAGTGGATCTGGCTGTGTTTGTGAACGACAGGTGGTGTAATGCTCTAAAGTAAGGACATCGAATTGCTAGCTGCTAATATGAGGCTGCATTAGCTTCCTCTGGAATTTTCACTTTACCATGATAACTGTATATTTCTCACCCTCTGCTAACTCTGCTGCGGCCTGGGATGTCCTGCACACTTCTACCAGCAGACTCCAAAATACAGGTCCCCTTTTTGATCACTGTGGACACCAGTAACACCAGCACACTGGATCTGTTTCACGTCAATACCAATAAGGCATCGGGTTCATCGCCTCCCTCTCCCCTGGGGAGCTCAGAAGCTCTAACTTCTTTAGTCTCCACACTGTAGGAAGAACAAAGAGCTCTTCTATGTGGGAAGAGGTCTGTCTTCCTTTTGGGGAGAACATCAACGGCATCATGGACTGCAGCAACTTCTGTTTGGACAACATTGTCCCCATCAGGAAGTTATGGTGTTTCTCCAATTACAAGCCCTTGATCAACAGAGGCTCATGCTCTGTTGATTATGACCTCACCATACGCGTCATGGTGAGGTTTTTAGTGGATCCACTGAAATAACATCTAACCAGGACTTCAGAGGGACAAGTTGGAGCTGTCAGAAGTAGACCACCACATGTGCCAGTGGATACCAGTCTACCTCACTGGCCTCCCACAGTATGTGAGCACACAGGGCTGTGCTGGCACCACTCCTCTTCATCATCTACGCTGCATAGTTCTCCATCAAATCTCCACACTGATATCAAAACCTCTCTGATGACTGCCATAGTCATCAGAGCTCTTGTAATACCCGGGTGTTCCCTGAACAATAACGACTGGACTCATGACACTGAGGCTCTTTATAGGAACCCTACTATGCAAGTTGTGCACTTTGTTATTCATGAGGCCCAAGCTGTCAGAAGAAATTTTTAAATTTCTGAACTATTTTCTGTCAAAATCAGTAAGGGTAAATTTCATAAGAAAAAAAAACCCTAAAACCAAGACACTGGAAATGTTTTTTTCTCTGTCAGATTTAATGACTTCTCAGTATGGAACATGGCCTTGTGAAGAGAGCATCTGCCATGTATTGACTTCAGACATATTCATCCACATCTTGGCCATAAGTCATGAGATGCATGTCAGTGTCAGATCAATGTCAGCTTCCATGCAGCTTTGAGTACATGCAAGAAAATGTATTAAAAGCACAACTCATTCCACTACAACATATTGTAGCCACACACAGCTCACTTCATCTAAATGTTGTATAGTTGAAGTGAGCTATGACTTAGATATCAAGTTTGAACTTTCCATCTATGTTGTGTTTCTACCATGAAATTAGAAATGGCCATATTCATTATTCATGCTACCATAATAATGTTATTATTGTTGTTGTTGGATGAGAGGTGAAGTGTTAAGAGAAGCTAAAATGAACATAAACAAGGTGCAAGAGAAGAAACATTTTATTCTGGTATTGTTTGTGCCAGTGTCTCTGGTTGATGGGAATTTCTCCCATCTTCCCTGGAAAGATGCAGAAACTTTTTGGATGTTTTTCACTGAGTGTGCTTGCTGTACTTATTCCAATATCTTTGCTTTTTGACCACATCTGTTAGCATACAATATTTATTAGTCACACTTTTAGGTGCAATGTAACAGAATATCTTGTTTAGCCCGTGAAAAAAAAGATAATATGCTGGTTAAGTGGAAAAAATGGGTTGTTGGGAATTTGAACATTATGGAAAAAAAAATATTTTTTGGTCACGACATACACTTTACATAACTAATTTCTTCTCTTTCTGTTCTCTTCCACCTTCTATTTTTTATAGTATCGTCTTGCATTACTACCTATAAAAAAACCCCTCCACCAGTGCCACCACGAACCTCCACCTGCTCTACAGCGTCCAAGCCATATATCTCTATCACAGCCCAAAGCAGCACAGAGTCCGCACAGGTACTGGGCACTGCAACAGTAGTGATCTACTATACAGATACTGATTTCAGACAATCACCTTCTTTCTACTTGCTCTGTGTTAATGTGGGAGTATTGTTTACCATCAACTTTGTGTTGTGGTTCAAAACATTTTCACAAATCAAAACAAGCAACCCAATTTATCATATATTTATGTTGTCTCTTTTTATTTTTGCTCTGTTATTCATTATTTCCCTGTAATGAATAACATTACTGTTTTTTTCCCTCCCACTCTGAATAAGCAGATTCCTGAAGACCTGAGGGATCTACACAGTTCAAACCTGACCAGTAATTTTACAGAACAATATCAGAATTTCAAAATGTGAAAAAAAATATGTCATTTAACAAACAGAACCAGAGCAGTAATCTAAGATCTTGTGTAATGTGATTCAAGACCCTGTTGGTCAAATGAGCTGGAGCTGCCTTATTGTTTTTTTAAAAGACCATTAAAGACACAATTGCAAAGTGACTTTTTTTAAACCTTCATGATTATGAAAACCTGAATACATCATGGTAAAAATCTGCTCTGGCAAATAAAGTCATTCGCTTCTCCTATCAAAACATGTCCAAATCTGCATAGTGGACAGCAGTACACTTTTGACATGCCAGTGTTAAAAACAGAAGGCTATTTTCTATCCAAGATAATACTTGCCATTGATAAAAAATGTCTTTTTGTACTTAACCCAACCAGGATGCCTATATGGAAGATGAAGGGCCCAGAGGAGACATGACAATCCAGTCAGGTCTCAGCAACTCAACGGAAAGTATTGACAGCATGAAGGCCTTGACAGCTGCCATTGAAGCTGCTAACGCTCAGGTTTGTGATTTTATGTTATGACTGTGAAGAAAGATGGGAGAATGATTCACAGCCCATTTATAAGTTCTGGACATAACTACTTGGATAATAATTTAAAGTCTTGAAAATGTGTACTACTTAGAAAAAGAAGAAACAGAGGTTTGGAGAGATTATGAATACTGTGTTTTCCCTGTCTGGTTGGTTCTGCAACTTGTACTCAGGTGTGACTTCCATACGGTGTATTGCCAAAAGTATTTGCTCACCCAAATATATAATCAGAATTAGGTGTTGTAATCACTTCCATGGCCACAGGTGTATAAAGTGAAGCGCCTCAGTATGCAGACTGTTTTTGCAAACACTTTGAAAAAACGGCTCGCTCTCATCGCTCACTGTGTGTCAGTGTTGAATTGTGATACGATGCCACCTGCGCAACAAATCCAGTCTTGAAATTGCTCCTAAATACTCCACAGTCAACTGTCAGCTGTATTATAAGAAAATGAAAATTTTTGAGAATGACAGCTACTCAGCCAAAAAGTGGTTGGCCATGTAAACTGACGGAAAAGGGTCAGCGAATGTTGAAGGTCATAATGAGAAGAGGTCACCAACTTTCTGCAGAGTCCATCTCTACAGACTCCAAACTTCATGCTGCCTTCAGATTAGTTCAAGAACAGTGTAAAGCACTCTGCAGTGGAAGTGTATTATCTGGCGTGAAAAATCGTGCTTTCCCGTCTGGTGGAGTGAAAGGAATGCTCAACATACCAACACATCTTGGACAATTTTATACTCCCAACTTTGTGGGCACAAAGTCCCACAAAGTTTGGAGCTGGCCCCTTCCTCTTCCAACATGAATATGGACCTTACTTTGTGCACAAGTGCACAAAGACATGGATGGTAGAGTCTGGTGTGGATGAGCTTGACTGGGCTGCACAGAGTCCTTACCTCAACCCGACAGTACACCTATGGGATGAATTAGAGCAGAGACTGTGAGCCAGGCCTTCTTGTCCAACATTAGTATGTGACCTCACAAAAGGTCACATACTCTTCTCGAAGAAATGCTCTTCTCGAAGAAAGGTCAAAAATCCCCATAAACACTCTCCTAACCTTGTGGACATCCTTAACAGAAGAGTTGAAGCTGTTCTAGCTGCAAAGGGTGAAGCAATGTCATATTGAACCGTATGGATTGGGAATAGGATAATGTCAGTTAAGCTCATATGTGTCATGTTGGTTTTGAAGAAATGTTTAACCCACATGCAAAACACTCATAGAAGAACATAAGGCTGTTTAGTAAATTGAGAATTGAGAAGAGATGCACTCCAGAAGAACGGTCCCTAGGCAGGAACCGGTACCAGCATCTGTGTGATCGTACTGTGGGAAGACAGGCAGGGTTTGAGGAAGCAGGTGGATTGGAGAAGGCCAGCTGTTGAGTCTTGAAAAGGATGGGAGTGGAAAGATAACCAGGGGACATCCAGATCCAGGGATCAGTTCAGGTAAGCTACATGAGGAAAGGTGAGAAGGAAACACTTAGAAATCAAAGGGCTTGGAGTTTTATCTCTACTGTTTAGCACTCAGGCACCGACATGCTGGCTTCCAGGTCCTTAAGTAGTCCACCTGATGCAGTGGATACAAGCTGTACGTGTGCAGAAATCCCTGCAGCAGAACAGAACAGCTGCTGCTTGACGCCCTCATGAGATGGATCACACAAACTACAGAAAAGAACTAAAGGAATAAGTGAACACACCTTCTGAAACCCGGCAGTATGTGAGTTAAGGCAGGTGAACAAATACTTTAATCAATATAGTGTTTTGTTTTTCCTCTTCATGATGTATGTTTGACTGACACATTAAATGTGAAATAATATTGATGGACATGAGCCAAGGACTTTTACTGACAAAAAGTAAACACTGTCTGACAGCAAGATGACCAGAGCTGGAGGAACAAGTTCACTGTTAGATGCTGAACATGCTGCTAGGAGGAAGGAGTTGTGTCTCCATGCCCTGGTATTTGCCAATGAAAGTCATCAATAAAAATGATTTTGCAAGTGGGCCTTTCCACTACGATGTAGTGAAAATATAAATTTACACTACATGAGTTTCCGCTCTGGAAGTGCACAGCAGAGTAGTTCTTGACCACCCTGATTCAGAACACTGATATCAATGAGTTAGAAACTTCCAAGCCAAGATTGATGGGTTACATCAGTTTGTTGAAAAACAGGTAACTGAACACCATGTCACTCTCACATCTGACAATTTCTAAATTTTTCTAAATAATTACATCTTACTTAAGTTATTTTCCCTTCATGATGCATTTTTGACTGATGCAACTTATACTCTTGAGTGACTAATACTCCTTTTCCACTGGCTCTAATGGACCCAGCTCCACTCTACTCAGCCTGCTTTGCAGGCATTTCCATTGACCTATTTTCAGACTTGTATCTGCTTTGTTGGTCCCTACTCTGGAGTAGGGTCAGCCAAGGCCCTACGTACATAGGCAGTGCTGTTTAAACTTGCTTTAGTGACTGAGGTGTTCCATAGTCTCAATTTAAGAAAGACTTGAGTCTTGGTCATTGCTGAAGAATTCAGCTAAAGTATTTACTTTTGAGATTGACAGTTTGGGTTTTTCTGTGAAACTTTGACACAATTGAGTGTGCCAGTGGGTTTAGTGATCCCAAACACATGGGATATGGGTATGTAATGGACAAAGCAGGCTGACATTAGCCCTATTAAAACACCTTTCAAAAATTCCAACCTTAATCCAGTTAACAATTTGTGAACTAGGGTTAAAAGAAGTCAAATGATCGAAACAAACTATGCTAATATTCCAGACATTTATCAGATGTCCACAGCTGTCTCGAATGGCAGTCCTTTTTATTTGTATCCTTTGTCCTATGCACATAAATTAAACGTCAAAACTGCTAATGAGCTAATATTGGAGCCAGAAGTGCTAAAGCATAGAGATATAGAAAAGACTGAGGAAAGGAGTTTTAGATCCTTTACCTACAATTATGACAGAAGCTTATTGATGAGTACAAATAGAGAGGTCAAGGTTCATTTGCCATGAAAGTTCAAAGTGATTATGACATTCTTTCCCATAAACACTACATCTAAACTCTGACTGGAACTGTCTCTACTGTCTCTAATAGGTGCATGGACCAGCCAGTCAACATGTGAGCAACAGCACGATGACAGTCAGCACTGCCAGTTCGCCACACCTCAGCAGGGGGCAAGTTGTAGAAGAGCATCGGGATGAATACAGAAAAGAAGCACTCAGGAAGGGCAAATGTCTCTCCATAGGCATCCAGGTACAGGATTTGAACCTAATTTGCTTTTCACATAACAGAAAAATCAAGTGCATTAGAGGAAGGTATGCTGAAGTATGGAAGAATTGTGTAGTTTAGTATTCTTTGTGTTCTGTAGGTAGATGGACCAGAAGAGATTCCAGATCCAGAAGACCCCTCCAAGTTCACGTCTGTGGGGGTACAAGTGGAGGACGATCGAGGGTGAGGTTATCATTGCAGTGAAAATAGAATAGAATAGGATATACTTTGTTGATCCCCAATGGGAAATTGCTTATTGACAAGTTACTTCATCCAATCAAAAAAATGTTAGCATAAGAGAGAAACTTTTTAATATATATATATATATATATAAGTGATGTACGGAATTCAATATGTGAAATATAAATTAATAAATAACAAACATGCACATGCAAATATGTTGTTCTATAGATAATCTGTATATGAGTACAAGGAAAATTAGGTTTAAGTTGCTCAGAGTTGGGGATTGTAAAGTCTAATGCAGTGGTTCTTAACCTTAATGAGTCAGTCTCAGGGGTCCGGCGGAGCCTCTGCTACGGAGGTAAAGACACACTTGTGTAAACTGTGCTGCTCCAGAAGATCCAACACCTGTTCTTTGGTCTTTGTCACATTGAGCTGCAGGTGGTTCAGCCCACACCATGTGATAAAGTTGCCTACAGCAGCCATGTTTGCAACCTCCTCACCCTCACTGATGCAACCAACCAGAGCTGAGTCATCTGAGACTTTCTGGAGATGACAGGTCTCAGTGCAATAGCTGAAGTCAGTTGTATAGAGGGTGAAAAGGAAGGGAGAGAGGACAGTCCCTTTGGAGCTCCTATGTTGTCGACAACACCTTCTGATAAATGGTGTCGCAGGTACAGAAACTATGGTCCGCAAGTTAGATAGTCCACAATCCAGGACACAAGGGGGTATTCAACTGCATTGTGTTGTTGCCGCTACACTCCCCCCCCCACCCCGTCCTTCACTCTCTACTCTCTCAGTCACTACTTCCTCTTCTGAGAGGGGAGATGTGCTACCAGCTCTCCATCTAACGGGTAAATTGAGTTTCCTAAATCTGCTGGGATTTACCCTATCCAGAACTGAAGTAAACTCTGTTTAAGCTGGTTTCGAGACCGGATTCGCCTGACTACTAACGGCCTACATCCAGATGTCCCACCCTTCTTCCCCCTGTGAATTAGCCAGACTGAGCAGCATACAGCCAAGTAGTTCCACAGAGCACATCTGTTAACAGTCGCTCCTTCTCTTTTTTGCAACTTGCACTTGTTACTGAATCAGGTTAGTTTTAGTGACTCGGGCGAGTCCCAAGGATGTTGTTTTAAATTTGGGCTAAAGCAACCTATAAAACATTACCTACTTTTCTTCCCCAGAATCAAACATCACAGCTATTTTACTACCATCAAAGAACTTTGAGGTAACTCATTAATTGAATGTCCACAACATCTTTTAGATTTTCTTTATGCTAAATATTTTATTAGTAAAGCAATTTTGCAAGGGTCAGTACAGCTTAATTAAGTAGCAGAAATAATCAAATAAGTAAAATAAATCATCTAGCCTGTCTTTCCCTAACGCTGATACTAAGAACTAAAAAGGGAACCTTTAGAGAGACGGACGGAGTTTGGTGTCTCGAACCCCAGACCCGGATCGATGATGAAGAAGGTGTTGCAGCAGGCGGAGGAGGTTGATTGACGAAGGCAGGGATCTCTGTTGGTCTGATGAGCTGTCATCTCTGCATCGATGATGAGGTCACACAGGACTTGGGTCTTTATCTTTGTCTTGATCTTCATCTTTGCCTTGGTCTTCATCTTTGCCTTGATCTTCATCTTTGTCTTTATCTTTGTCCTTGGGGTCTGAACCCAGCCGATGAGAGAAGTCCGATTTGAAGCCACATGTTGCGGGGCTGATGGGTTGATCCCCATGCGCAGGACAGTCTTCGTCCCTGTGGCCCCGGCTCTTCTTCAGCTGCAGAGTTCTTTGTCCATCTCGGTCTTGACTCGAAGCTGCCTGGAGGATCCAACCAAAGATTCCTCTTTTGCTCTCCCCTTTTATAGGGTTTATACCCGCTTTCGGTGCATTTTCATTGGCTAACACTGTTGCTGTGCTTTATTGGGTAACTGTTTGGACAGATGAACTCATATCCATCACTGTCTTAGAGACATTTTGTCCTGATGTCTTGGCTAATGCCTCAGGGTTGCTCAATGTTTCTCCCGTGTCTCTGACACATTTAAGTTGTTCAACAAGCTATCTCCTAATAAGGTCTTGGTCATCTCTGCTTTCCCGTTTGTCCCCATTTTACCCCTAACCTCTCACCTACTATCTACCTCCAACACATCATCAGTGATCTTTAATAGCAGTTACATGTTTTACACCATTTCAAGTTCAATGTTAAAATCACATTCATAAACCTTTTAGTTTCTTTAATTTAGCATTCATTTATAAGTTTATGATAATCACAACTTATTACTCTTTTATTATTTGATACCAAAGTTACAGTTACTTGTTTTACTTGTACGTTTTTCCACAAGTGTCAGTAAGTATTGTTATAAGTAAACCAATATTATTATAAGTACTTTACTTTAAATCTTATCTAATTACTCAAAATGTTTAGATTTTATCCTTTAAAACGTTTATGCTTTTAAACAAGGACTGGTCTCAGCTATTTTTATACAGCTGCAAGCTGGAAACTTACTTCCTCTTTTTCCAGGAAACCTGCTCTTCCCGTCTCATATCTCTCTCTCTGACTATGATTTCTTATGATTAGATATAAAAAATAAGTATAATGAAAGCTAAGTTTGCAGGAGACAAAACAACACACACAACCAGATTTATTTTATTGCAGTCTGGGTCTACTGTTGGATCTAGATGTGATTGGTGTGACTTATTTTAAAGATAACTTTATTTGTTGTTACTGTTAACTAAAATCTCCAGCATGGGGAAGTGGGATGATCTCGGATTTTTCTTGACAATTGCCATCAGTTTCTCACCCAATAGAGCCAGATGGATGGTGTTGAATGCACTCAAAAAGTTAAAAAGCATCATTCTCACAGTGCTTGCTGACTGGTCCAGATGACTGTAACCATGGTTAAGCAGGAAGAGAATGGTGTCCTAAAGTTCAAGTCTGGGTAGTAAGACAAACTGTAAGGGATCTAAGTGTGGTTGCATTGTGGTTACGATGCATTCTGTTTTCCACATCACAGGGACCCACTTTAGATGCAGGATCATGTTGAAGATATGCTAGAGGACTCCACGAAGCTGGATAGCCTGCAGTTTTGCACGGTGGAGTCTGACCAGCTGTCTTTTAATATCTTCAGCGTTTACTATAGGGTGACCAGCTGAGAGGTGGGGGGATGGTCACTGAGTACAAGAGGAGGAAAGGAGATGTGAAAGTGAAACTCAAATGGGTGAATAGCAGTGGTAGTGATGGGAGTAAGAGGTACAGGGATTATCAATTATCAAATCTATCAAATTTGTTAAAAAGCTGGTTGAGTTTATTGGCTCTGTCAACATTACCCTCAACTGCTCCTCACCTACTGATCTGAACCCAGTGATAGTCCTAATCCCTCTCCAGACCTCTCTGATGTTTTTCTGCTGGAGTTTCCTCTCCAGCTTCCTCTTATATACCGTAATCTTCTCACATCGTCCATGTTGCCATCTCTGAAAGCCCTCGGCTTCTCATTCAGGATGGTTTTGATCTCCTTTGTAACCCAGGTGTGTTGTTGTTATTTGGGTAACAATAAACAGTCTCGGTAGGGATAGTGGAGTCAACACAGAAGTAGTCAGTTATGCACCATGTGAGCTCACCAATATTCTCCATATTTGAATTCCTGACAGTCAATGGCCTCAAAACATCCCTGTAGTGTCTCAGTGATCTTCTGTGACCCCTCCTCACTGTCCTCATGGTTGCAGGATCATGACACAGTTACCCTAGGCACCAGGTTATGATCGAACTTTGAATGGAGAGAGGGGAGAGGAACTGTGAGCATCTTTTATATTAGTCCAGAGTGAATCTTCTCTGGTGGGACGTCTCACATGATGGGTGAAGTTGGGGAGGGTTTTGTCCATGGTGACATGAATAAAATCCCCCAAGATAATCATGAATGCAGTTGAATGTCCTGTCTGCAAGCAATCTACAACGCAGTGGATGATATCATAGACCGTGTGGGATTGCTACCCGACCCATAAAATACAAAATTATCGTTCATTTGGCTGTTAAATATTGCGTCCCGTATTAAAGCAATACAGGGCATATATTGGTCCATATTTCTATAACTGTCCGATAGACATACCTATAACGCACATATCAGCACTAAGTGTAACAATAATGACAAAAATAAAACACACGAAATATTAAGGTCAGCTACACAACCCCCCCAGACGGCTTAATGCTATTATCATGGTTACCTAAAGACGGAAACTTTGTAGCCGGGGTGAGCTGCTATCAACCTGGGTCTTTTGAAATGTCCACCCAATACTTCACCATGTCCTTAGAAGCAAAACCTCTTGCAAAAATACAATGGGAGCGCTGAACCGTCTTAGTGAGGATGAATACAGACATTTTAAAAAACACTGTGCCCATTGTGGCACAGTGTGCTATATGATATCAGAGAGAATGCATCAGTAGAGTAACACCGCAGACCCGCCAGAACCTAGAAGAACCGGACATCAGTGTCTTTTCAACCCTCAATTATCTCCTGAAGCTGACATGGTACAGAACATTTTGCTATGATTTAAGTTTCTTATTGTGCTTGTTGTAGACTATTATGGTCTGATTATTTGCTTAGGATGTTGAGTTTTGATGACACTTTATTTAATCTATAATAGTATCAGTTAAAATATAGAATTGATCATTTAAAGAACAAATCATGCTAATCAATTACCAGTACATACATAAATATTTCCTACTTTGAAACTGTTTGTTAGGACTTTCTGTGTGTTTTCTTTAGAAATGTGAATATATTTTATGAATACATCGCTCGGTGTTCATTTAATGTTATATTTCACTATTATTTTATTAATGCGGTTTACAAGTTTGGATAACCTGACTTCCCATTAATGGGAAAAAAAAAAAAAAAAACACGCTAACCAAAAATGCATCAGGCACATACCTACAGCCCAGGGGTGGTTCTAGACAATGGTCAACAGTGTAAATGTAATTTGTTAATACCCAGTGATGGAATTGTTTAACCTTCACAATTTTACTCTAACAATAAATTCAAAATTATTGTGCTGCACTATGCTTAGCAGAGTAAAATAAGCATTTCTACAGCAAAGAAAAATATTATGATTCTCTTAATATATAGTACTAGAAATATGCAGAAATAAATTGAAGTTGCAAAATAATCAATCGAAAAAATAAAAAAAGCAAAAAAGGTGAGGAGTAACCACAACAGGCTGCATACATGTTGGCGCATGCGCACTAAATCACTAACTTACTGATTTGCATTAAGTATATTTAGAAAGACATTGCAAAATGTAAAAGTGTTGACTGAATTGTGTCTTGACAGTAGATATTGAAGGTTTGGTTTCTTGGATGTCTAGATATCGAAGGCTTCAGCGCTCCAACAGCGTGACAGCAGCTGTACAGGTAAGCAGCAAGCTTGGATTGGGACGAGTTCTCTGTGCTGTTCCTAGCAATATCTAACAGCTCTGTTGGATAGTTTGCCAACAGAGCTGTTTTCCTTCATCATGAACAACGCACTCTGCTGTAAACATCGGAATTAATTAATGACTATACTTAATTAATTAATTTTTAATGAACAGAGTCCTGGTGCTGCCCAGAGGTCTGAGTGGGTCATAGGACAGATAAATGGAGAAACAGCAGCACATATGATGGGTTCTGTTAAAGATTGTTCACTGTGAAAGCCTGCATATCTGCATATCATGTGTGATATCTTGCTCTTTGGGGATCTGTTTGCAGAGAAGTTATCAAATTTCTACATGTATTTGTCAAATTTTAGATTCAGCCCACTTTTTCCAGACCATGGAAAATGTGACTCAGGTGGAAGAATAAATCTGACTTCCACAGCCAAGCTTTTTTTTGGCTAAAATTCAGAATATCAAGTTGATCTTGACAGAAGACATGAGGGAATGAGAAATCATTTGGAAATATGTAGGCTATTTACAAAACTAAATATAAATGTCACATAACTAAATATTAAGTTAATTCTCGGATCCTGTTTATTTCCCAATCCAGGCAGATCTAGACCTGCCAGACCTCCTAGACACTCCCCTGGACTCTCCACACCCTCACAGAGGACGTCTGGCCTCCTGTGGCATATCTCGGAAGTATTCCCGTGATGCAGCCACCTCCACTGTCAGCATTCAAGGCTCAGGGAACCATTACCATGCCTGCGCCTCAGATGATTACGATGATGTTGGTTTTGACCCGTCCATCCTCCCCCCGCCTGACCCCTGGATAGATACTGTTACTGATGACCCGCTTGATGCAGACTTCAACAGCTCTGCTATTCTGGAGGTATGTGGACTTGTTTTACTCATTTTGGTTTGTTTTTAATGCATATCAATCATTTCAGTCATTTTTTACACATCCCTGATATCGGTGACCAAAGTCCTTCACAAAATATATATAGGAAAGTAAGGATGCACCGACATGAACATTTGGCTTGGAACTGATATCCAATCCATATTATTACTGCTGTTATGACCGATGTCTGATATCAGTCATAGACAGTTTTCAAGTCTGGTGGATGAAAGAACACATAGAGTCAAAGCTCAGTCAATGATCAAGTCTAGGAGAGAGATGGGGTTTAGCACTGAAAGACAGTGACAAGTGTATCATCCAAGGAGATTATTAAGTTGTTGATGCCTGCAGGAAGGTGTCACTGCTTAACAGAAAGAAGACAAGGTGTACACTGGCTTCAAAGAAAAATACAGAGAGCAAAAAATTAAAAGCTGACATAACAGGAAAAATGCCGAATTGGAGAAAAGTAGGAGTAAGTAGAAAAGAGAGGAAAAATGAAGCGTAAGCCAGTCTGACTAACAGTTTTATCAGAAAGGAAAGTTTTAACTCTATTCTAAGCAGGGTGTCTACTTCACCCCCGATCTAATCTATATTTTTCACCCTGAACTAGCTCATGATGTTCCTCAAACAGACTCAGAATAAACACAATAATTATTGAAGAGACTCACCAAAACAGCATGTGTATAAATAAGGTAATGAATGCATTTTACTGATGACTGTCTTTATGCATGCTCTCCATGAACCCATCCATCCATCCATTTTCTGAGCACCCTTCTCCCTAACGGGGTCGGGAGGTGCTGGTGCCTATCTCCAGCTGCGTTCTGGGCGAGAGGCGGGGTACACCTTGGACAGGTCCCCAGTCTGTCGCAGGGCAACACAGAGAGACAAACAATCAGGCACACCTAGGGAGAATTTGGGAAGGCCAATTAACCTGACAGTCATGTTTTTGGACTGTGGGAAGAACCCGGAGAACCCGGAAAGAACCCACGCACAGGGAGAACATGCAAACTCCGTGCAGAAAGACCCCGGGCTGGGAATCGAACCCAGGACCTTCTTGCTGCAAGGCAACAGCACTACCCACTGAACCACTGTGCAGCCCCCTCCATGAACGGAAAACTTCCTGTTAGCCAGTGTTAGTCTGTGCTTCACCTCAGTGAGTGAAATGCTGGCCTGTTTGCAGGCTGAGAAGTATAGAAGTTGCAGCATTGGATAATATGTTGCATTATATAATAATAAATCTTGTCAAATGTGCAGTTTGACACGTTATTTGAATGCTGTCATGTTATCTGAACATGTAATGTTCAATGTCAGATGCCAAATTTCTGACATTTGAAATGTCACTGAATCTACACTACATTTTTTATTTTTTGAAATAACTTAGATTTTTAATCATATTTTTTTTGTTTTTAGGTTCTTGCATGCACAATATCTAAGAAATGTATTCCTCATGACACACTTCTTTTTTAAAAGTTCTCCATGTGTGTTTTACATATTAAAACACACATTCCCCAATATGTGTTGTAATATTTAGAACACACATAAATATTACATTTAATTTCAATATTTCATCTTCTTTATTGCAGTGTTATTGCTGTGCAAGTGTGGAAAATGCTAGCAGAAAATGTCAGTTTTAGAAGAATGAATGTTCACATCTGAATAACCTTACTTTAAGATATTTATTTATCAGAAGCTGAAAATGTTAATCTTGCCCATCAGTGAAAGATAAACCAACAGTTACTTTCAGCCTCTTTCAGGGGTTAATGAATATTTCATGTACACTATTTTGACAGTATGTGCAAATCTGAATATTGTGATGTAAGGTGGTACAGCGGTCGGTCTGTCAGAGAGATGGACGCTGGTTCCTGAAGCTTCTTCAAGCTGAGACCGACCGCATGGAGGGATGGTGTCGGCAGATGGAGCTCGACCAGCGGGAGAATGAGTTGCCTGAAGATAGTAGGTTTTATATGTGTTTGTTTATCGTTCACATTTCAGCAAACATTTCAGGATAAATAGTGCAACACACATTTTAAATATTAAATTTGAAAAGTATAAAATTCAGTTTTTTATTACAAAGTTCATACAAAGAGTCTCAACCATAAGAAATTTAAAAGGTCCACAATTATGAAAAATTTCTGTTTTGCTTCTTTCTGTCCTTCCACTTATTTATGGCATCTACAAATTTTCCAAGAGCAAAAGAAACCAAACACCCAGCTGTCATTTTGGAATAAGTATATGTACTGCGGGAGGGGAGTGTTTGTAAGACAGTTTGTTTCAAAAACTTCTAAATTGTTGCGTCACAACATTTTACAAACCGACCCCAAGTGGATCTCCAACCATTTCATTACAGGTTTGTTCTGCTGGTTTTACATTTGCTTGAAAAGGAAAATGTTTTGTTGTCCACTGTAACACAGAGCTTGAGCATGGTTCATGTATGTTTTCCCAGTCATGGAGAACAGAGCTGTGTGGCTTCATAATATTTCTGCTTGCAATGTCTTTGCAATATTACCAAAGTAAGTTTTAATTTGTACAGATAATTTTAAGCAGAAATCTTCTGAAAACTACCAACAATTCATGACAGAATTTACTAAAATGTTTAAACTGAAGAATCTGTTTTTACTTTCTCACAAATGGTGCACATCACCATCGTGTTGTTGTTTGGCAGAAACATGGTTTGTCATTTAGCACAAGCTAACACTAAACAAAACCCTCTGCTAGTCTTGTGTCTCACTTTATGTTACTCATAATCAGTGTGTCCAAATTCAAGGTGTGCATCTTTCAAAGCATATGGACGTCTTTGGGTCAAAGGACCTGGTCTACATAGCACAGGTCCTTCGAACGCCATGAATATTTGAGAATATTTAAATAGACGTTACATAACATTGTGGTAAAGCTATTATTTTTGAATGCTTCACTTTAATCAATCAAACTGATTTGCTAAAGAATAAATTAAATACTTTGGATAACTAAACATTATGCTGCTCAACATTACCTGACAGAACAATGTCGCCGTTTAACTTTCACTCATTGGAGAAAGCTATTGGCAGTTTGAAAACAGTGTGCTGGGAGTCAGGCATTTTCTCTCTGTAAACTGAATGTGGATCGCCTGGCCAGCTGACAGCTGGCGAGGGGAGCTGGCTGTTAATGCAGCGGCAGCAGACATTTCTGAAAAATATTGTCAGAGTAATATTGCAATTTGGTGGCGTATTAATGAATCAAGCAGACATTTGAGATTTACACAGCTACAACCTTACTTAAAAATATTGTACAATTTAATGTTGTGTCACTCACAGTGTAATGTAGCAAAAACAATGTGCTGCTCTTCACTACCGTTGCTGCTTTTCCCGAACACTCAGTTTGGACCCACAATGAATCGTAGGATATGGTGGGTCATGAAGGATTCACTGGACCTGTCCAGCACACAGGACAGATCCAGTACATCAGTAGGGAACTCACAATGCATTACAGACATCACACAAATCTTAATATTGCCTCAGTATTACAAGTTTTCATAGTTTCTCTGAGAATCCATGTTGCCTGCACACATGTTATATTTCACGGAACCTGCTGGCTGTAGGTCAGGGTTTGTGTATCTGGGTCCAAAGGTGGCATTCTGATTGCTATCTGGATCTGCTTCAAAAGCAGCACAGATCTCATGTAATAACTGAAAGCCTCTCTGAAGTGGCAGTGTTGCTTTTTGTTAGGCTCATCAAGTGGGAAGTTAAAGTTGTAACCAATAACAGTTAACTGAGGAACATTTAATTATGTCTCTGCTTATTTCAGCAGGGCACTGATAAGAAAGCACAAACCCAAATGGCACAGGACCAAATTTTGAGTAAGATGTTCAAGTCCATGCAGTAACTTGCATATCTGTGGTTATGGGCATGTGTCTTTCAGTCTCTCCTCGCCATGATATGAGGATCTGAATGAGGACCTTCCAAATGAGACACATTAATATAGATTTAATTTTGTCATGTGACCTTTTTCAAGCTATAACAGTGGTGCTAATCACCTCCCTGTACTTGACTGTAATCATGTTTGTAATGCAAAAACACTACTCCAAACTTCTTATGAAAACAATTTATAAATTGTGTAAGATAATATCAGAGGGCATATACAAAAAGCAATACATACTATTGACTTGTATGTTTATGTTAGAAACACATTACTATCTTTGCATATCTAAGGACCCATCACTCACCTGCACATGCCCTGGTTTCACTACACACCAGTCCTAACCCTGTTTTTTGCTCTTTGCCACTGGTTTATATACTGCCATTTCATTTGCAGTCTCTGGGGCAATTTTCTATGATCACAAATGATTAATTAACAAATAACTGGAAACAAACTGTTACTCCAAGATCACCAAGTTAAAAAAAATAAAATAATTATTGACCTGTGTTGTTGCCTGGAGACAGATCGGCAGTGAATTGGTGCATGACAAAAGCAATGGTACTGTCTTATAGCACATAGTACTGTCATTTGAAACAGAAGTCCCACCATGTGACTACACACAGGTCATGTTCCATCTTAGCAAGAACATGACATGCACTTCAGTTCCACCACACCACAGCAGAATCAAGTGTAACCTGCTATTAGGGACATAAAAAAAAAAGTGTATTCCTCTGTTATGTTGACAGCAGCTTTCTACTAATAATTTCAGCTATTTGCAGGCAGTTGTCTCTGTGGGGATCTTTGGGAGTTTGAGAAGACTGAGCAGAATAAAGAAACTAATGAACTGATGTAAGATTAATTTTGATGTTTAGAAAAGTAAAAAGTTAACAACAGAAGAGGGAGGACAATTAGTTGATGGCAGCATTATCTAAGCCTATGTCCTCCAGCAGGAATGTATCACAAGGTATCATTTTTTGACTTGGATAATATGTGTTTTACTTAAAACACATATTCATTTTGTATGATTTTCAAAGGTGAAAATACATTCGATCCTTGTGTTTATCCTACATTTTATTTTACCATAACTTGTGTTTGTGTTCTCAGTCCGGGAAAAGATGAGAACTGCTGTTGGAAGTGCTCAACTTCTCATCTCCCAGAAGTTTCAGCAGTTCAAGGAGTTATGTGAAGAGAACCTGGTAAGTGCAAAAACCCTTATCAATAATTTACTGGAAAACTTGCATCTTCAGGCCTAGTGGACTTTTTACAAGTTCTGAATTCCAGTCTTTCTTTACAATCTTTGGATCAATAGCTCAGAAAATACATGCAATTGTAGCTTTTGTAAGCAGTAATCTAACGCGTTGCTATTTCAAATCCAGTAGTGAGACTACAGTTACTTGTCAAAATCACTTTGCTTCACTATTTTCTTTTGGAATTTTATTTTATTTCCTCTGCACATCTTGCCCAGTGATCGCCATTTCTATGCAACAGTATCAGCAGCGACAGAAACAATGAAGGGAGGATGCCAAGTCCAACTATTATAGCGGCTTAGGGCTTGTTTTTTTTGTTTTTTAAAAATTGTTTGCAAATTTAATGAGTCTGCGTTGTGCCTTTTTGGGCTCGTTTTTAAACGTGAAGTTGCTCTTTTGGACTTGGAAATAAGCAGAGACTCATAATAAATCCCAGAATTTCTCAGTTAATTTTAGTCTGACTCTCCTTGTCCATCATTTCTGTCCTGCTGTGTCTTTGTTAATGTTTGTTTGTAATTTTTTGAACTGTTGTAACCATTAAACAATCTCCCCCTCAGTTCATCCTTATAAGCGGAGACACATTGTTGATATTACCATTATAAAATAACTTGCAATTAAGTATTGGCAAAGATCAAGATTTTTCAAAGTAACTATGCTGTCACTGATTGAAAGTTATTCTCATAATTTTGTTCTTTTAATTTGTATATACCCCTGGACAACCCAATTATCATTTGGGTTGTTCATGATACATAAATATAACAAGTATAACCAATAATGTGATATACTTCTCAGTTCGATCGTATTTGCACTTAGAGCCAATTAAAAATTTGTAAGCATTTTCCCTTAGATTAGTTCTGTTTATTTTTTCTTGTTTTTTATTTTGCCTTTTGCACCATGACAGAACCTCAGCATCCATCCTCGTCCTGCAGCCTCAGATCTAGCTGGTTTTTGGGATATGCTTCAGCTGTCAATTGAGAATATCAGCCTCAAGTTTGATGAGCTTCACCAGCTCAGGGCCAACAACTGGAGACCGCTGGACCCTCCTGATAGAAAGGTACTCTCATTTCTAAGGTGATGGGAAAGGGATATGCCTTCATTTGTTCTCTTGCTCTATCTATTATTCTATGCCCATTTGCATGAACATGATATTTAAAATTGAATATCAAAGTGTTAAGGTTATTCACCTATTCACAAATGTAATAACACATTTCCTTTTATTCAAGCATTTATTATGGTGAAAACTGGATGCTTTCCCAGTTGAAATAAATATTTGTATTTTTGTTTTTTCCTATTGATCCTGAATTTTCGGAATGCCAGGCTTTATTAAGACGCATAGTTAATAACACATCTTTAAACGTAAACATGTCTAACCCTGTCATGCATTGTAGTTACTACAGTGGACAGCTATCTAAAAGCCATTTTCTTGTGTTTCCTGTGTTTTTTTTATTTTTATAAATACATACAGATCACTAAGTGGACACTAGAGTATCAGGCAATACACTGCCAACTACTGTCCATCCAGTGCAAGTGCTAGAATTTCTTGTTAACTCCAGCCTGATATGCTTCGGCGGACAGACCGAAGCATATCAAACTAACTCAGAAATATCCAGTCCCTCTTTCTACTGTAGAAAATACTTTCAGGTAAAAAACATATATATTGTGACATCAAGAAACCCCTAAAGACTAACACTTTTTCTACACAACTTTACATTTGGAAAAAATACAACTGATCACCTGTCCACTAAAGTGGATGTCATGTATCAGTGACAATATTTTGACAGGTATTGATATCAATACTCTGACTATAGATCTACAATATGCAACATTTCCAGAAAATATTTTGACTGTAAATAACACAACTTATTTTAAACAATGCAAACATATTTTTAATAACATTATATTAACTTTGAAAGGTTAATTGAAATAAAAGGATAGAATCAATGAACTAACCCTTGCTATTTATTATCTTAGACTTCTCTTATGTTTTTTACAATTCGGGTTACATAAGGATGATGAATAACCTTAGATCATTGAGGTAATTGAAGAGGGACATGAAATAATTGGAGATGCAGAACCTAGAGAATGCAAACCTGTATGCATCCCAAAAAACAAAATAAATTCTGGCCTAAACAGATCAGGAAATGAAGACATTTCCAGTAATAAATAAGGAATCGTGTCATACACAGATATCCAAGGTCTAGAATGTATTGATCATTAGAGCCAGGTCTTCATCTTGACATGATACTAAGTGTTTTTTAAATTCTTGGAAAGGTGTATCTTTTAAATTTCAAGGAATCTGTAGCTCGTGTGCTAATAAATGAGGGTTCCATCCAGACACGTTCAAGAGTGCCAGTGTCATCCCATCATCGTTAAAACGCAGACCAGTCTCTAAGGCAGTGGTGTCCAAACTTGGCACTTGAGGGTCGGCATCCTGTATGTTCTAGTTCTCTGCCTGGTGATAGTAACATCCTCCTCAGTATTTCATATTCAATGTTGTTAGTTTTATAAAATTATAAATGTCCACAATACAATCATACTGCTTGAGAAGGAGCCAAAATAAGACTAAAATGAGACCAAGCAGTTGAATGACAGTGACTGATTAAAGGGATCAGATAGTAGTGAACATTAGACTAAGACTAATGGACACAGCATCATCGTGCCGAGGTTCCAAAATGAGTTCTCACTGGTGAACTTGCATGACAAAAATAGTCTTTTTCTTCTCAACATCTTGATGTCTGCCTTTTTTTTGTCACAACACCGCTGACAAACTTTTTGAAACCCTGTGCCTGTGAAGCTGTTGTGTAATGGGTCAGAATTTTGTGAGTGTGTTTAGTCTCGCAACAAACCACGACGTACACCGCAGCAGCAGAAGCTTTACAGGAGCTCTGCTTGATGCGTCTTGTGGACCTTGAAGGATGTGTGTGAAAACAAATGTCCCACAGTGACATGACTGTACCTCAAAGGTTTTGCTGTGGCCCACAGTGGAACGGTTGACCTTTCTGGTCAAATTTGCTAATTTACTCTTAAGTTGCTTCTGATCAAACTGTTTTAGACAGCTTTGAGTTTTTGAAATGACCAAAAAAGAAGCTTCATTCTAGTGAGTTTACAGAAAAAGAAAGAAATTCTTGTGTTGGAAAAATGGAAATTGCTGGTTTGACTGGGACTCTAACAGAGCACGATGAGGGCTTTTAAAATAACTTAAACTATTAAATGTTGGTAGTCGTGCTTGCAAATCAGGAACAGTGCTGCACATGTAAGTATTCTGAACTAAAGCCATTGTCTTAACCTAAAATAAATGCTCTCATTCCTTTACTTGTTTCAGTTGTTGAAGCTTCTATCTCAGTGTAAAATAAGGTTCGGAATGTTCCTTTTTCAGAAAATTCTGAGGTAAATCAAAGAGAACATTACTTCAGCTATACCTACCTGCACAGAGGCCAGAAAACAAAGTTGGAAAAGTTAAAAAGTTAGAAGACTCATGTGCTGACTCTTCATTCAGCACATGAAGAGTCTTTTTGGATTGCAAACCCAACCAGGGACTCTCTGCCTGCTGCAAACTCCTGCTTAACCACACGACTGTTCTGAAACAATGTATCATAAAGATACATGTTTTCTGTGTCAGCCTGAAGCACTCCTTTGTATAAGGCACACAGCAGTCTTTAAGGCCATACCTATGAAGCAGTCTATGCATTTCTCAGTTTGCATCTGTCTTTTTGGCTGGATGGAGTTAGCATGTTGTCATAATGTATAGCTGAATTAGCTTATAACAGAAGCTAATTCGCATCAGGGTCAGGAGATGAATTAGCGTATGCTATAAACCTTTTAGAGCGTGTCAAATGCCGACATTTATGATTGATATGTATACTGTCCCTTTTTAAAAAAATATATATTATTATTATTCGTGGGTTCTCTCTAGGTTTCTTCCCACTATCCAAAACAAGAGTAGAAGATTAATTGGCCTTAGCAAGAGACTGAATTCTGTTGCTGTGTTCTCCTGTGAGAGAAAAATGACCTGTCCACTGTGTACTGGGCCCCTTGCTCAGTGATCCCTGACTTGTTTTATGAGATTCAAATTCAGTTTGTAGGAGGGACCTCAATCTGACATCCAACCCTTTTTCAGAATGTTGACTTTCCCTCATCCCTATGTAATGGAAATGGAAATGTCCTTTCTGTGACATTTACATTCTGCAAAACTTTACAAACCTGAGACATAAAAGTTTTCCTTGTTCCATGGATATAATGCCTTTGAGAAACCAAGCAAATAAATCAATGTGCATCACTTTGTCAAACAGACTAACAAAATTCACATGGTGGATGTTTTGATATTTTATTACAGGAATATCAGATAATTTGACTCATGCATGGTTTTGTGTCCATGCAATGCACAGATATTCTTTACTTAGTATATCTGCTGTATATGTTTATCTTTTTGTTTTTCTAAGCACTTTCTTCTCATTTGCTCTCATTGTTGTCTGCTTCTTTCTTTTTTTCCTTCTTTTGTGTGTTAACAGTGAAGGCGCTTGCAAACAGCCACACATCAATCAGCATAACCAACACCACAGGGCCTTGACCAATCTGGGCCTCCATGGATCCATCATGTCTGTCTTTTCATCCACCTCTTCATGCTTCCTTCTGCCACCCGCAGCCATCTTACATGTGTGGCTTTATGTTTTGTGTCTTGCTTCTGCAAATGGCAAGATAAATGAGCAGATGAGTATGTCACTGATAGTGTTATACTTCTCAGATATCTTCAGTGTAAAGTGAACTATTTCAAAACATGTCAAAATAAAAAGCAGAAAATATACATAAACTATACATCAGCATTAAAATTCACTATAGGACAAGAACTAAAAATGTTTTACAGATTTTGCTTTTAAAAAAAATTTATAATACAGTTAAAGAAAATAAACATTTTAATTGTTCCAAACACTGGATTTTATTATGTTTGTCAGGTTTTATTATTTTGTAACATAAAGGACTATGTAAATGCATGAATATTTTGGCTTATCTAAAAGTTGTTCCTTCTGGCTCTTGTCTTAGTGAGCTTGAAAGGAAAAGTTTAAAAAGTTTATTTGAGATCAAAACAGCAAGGAACTGATGGACAGGGTTAAAGGTCAGCAATCACTCAGTTGTAAAAACAAAATCTGGAGAGCTGATGTTTATAATTATTTACAGTCAGACATACACAAAAAATAAAACTGCATTACAGCTTGATATATGTAAACATCCAGAAATTCCCAATTTCTTACTTCCTTACCCACTTCTGATTTCCTCTTCCAGGAGAGGCGACTTCCACCTCCTGTGCCAAAAAAACCACACAAGATGGTCCCCCACCACCACCCACCACTTACCAGAGACCGTTCACTGGAGAGCTCAGAGAAGCAGCGGCAGGAGGCAAGAAAGAGGCTGATGGCTGCCAAGAGAGCAGCATCTGTACGCCAGAACTCAGCAACAGAGAGCGCTGACAGCATTGAGATTTACATTCCTGAGGCTCAGACAAGGTTATGAAGACATTAACATGGACATATTATGGTTGGCAAAAAGTACCCAGGTACACACACCCGACATAAAACAAAACATGTATGATTATCCACATCAACTTACAGTGGGAGAAACTATTGTGAATATTTTAGTTATTGATTTTTTTCTGTAATTTTTCCATCCTCAGTTTTGATCTCATCAGTTATGTGTGTTGAAGTAGCAACAGGAGTTCTACAGGTCCGTTTTTTAACGAGCAATTTATCTGTTGTGTGAATTGTAATAAAAAGGATCTTTTTTATAACAGTTTTTTAGAAGTTTACAGGAGGTGTAAACTTCTATAAGTTCATTTTCATTTCCAAAACTTCTCATTTAAAATCCGATACAGGGATGGAATTAAATCAGATCACCTGTTATTCTTTACATGCTGGATAACATTGTTGGAACACTTCCCCGTCTGACCTCACATACCAAACTGGTGACATGATTGGCTGCAACCTGCTGCTAGTAAGAAGTGCACAACCTTCTTTAATCCCACTGAAAATAAATGACCAGCTTCTGTAGCACATGTTGTGAAACATCTAATTCAAGAGTTTAAAAACTGTTTGACTTGTTTGGAAAAATATTTAAGTACCCAGCTGTTATCTAAAAACTTATATTCCTGTGGCCCTCTAGGATCTAGAGGGTGGCTAGATTTGGCTCCCAGGCATTGAGTTTGACACATATGATCTAGAATAATTTTTTGAAATGGTATTGTTTAAGAAAACAAATTAGAAGTTTTGCAATCAAGTAATGTTGTATTGTTGCTGAACTTTGACATGACCAGCAGCAGCAACCTCTGACCTTAGGGCTGCCCCACAGAGTGCCTGAGGCAAGATGGGAGCATCTCTTCTTCTGCCTCTCTTCTTAACCTGATGCGCCCGTAACTCTGGACAGAGGCAAATCTGGACTCATCAGATTATGTGACCTTCCATCACTCTAGAGCCCAGTTTCAGATCAAAGGCATTTTTTCCAGTTTCCCACTGATCTGTGGTTTTCTTAAGGTTACTGCTGTTCATTCTCAATCATTGGAGTTCTCTTCACATTGTGTGGAAATGCCCTTACTTATCCCAGAGTTTTGCTGTTGTTTTCCTTGGTTTCATGTCACCAAGTGTTTTGGTGATCACCGATTCTGATCATTCAGGATTTTATTTTTACCCCATTTCTTCCCAACGTTCCTTACAATTGTTGATAATACTTTGGACAGTTCTCAAATTAATGGTTTCTGTATCACTTAGATGTTTTCTCTGCTTAATACCAAAAAGACTGAGACATTTTCTATAAATACAAGATGTTTTTTCACATGGCTTAAGAAATGGGAGGCTAACATTACATCAGCTGATAATTACCCAAACATTAATTACCCAGTAGGCGGTTTGTACCTATTTACGGGTTGCCGCTTTTTTGAAGTATTGATTGAGTTGCTCAGATTGTGATACCACAGTTGTGAGAAAAGTGGCAGGATTGTTCAATATGGCAAACTGTATTCTCTCAAAAATATTCTAATAAAAATGGTAAAGAGTAGAGTAATTAATCCACTTGAGCTGTCAACAGTCCACTCACAACAATACAAAATATTTTATAAGGTTTAATATTATGAGTCACTTAATAGACTGGTCTTATTTTTAAAGCTGCAAAACACCTCTAGTTAAAGTCCTATAAAACACACTCTCAAAGTTGAGTAGTAAATAAGTAAGGAAACAACTGGCTGTGGGTGATGATATTGCAGACACCTGCACAAAAACCACCCAAAATTTGACAAAAGGGTTCTGATGTCATCAAATGGTCAGTCAGTAGAATGGCACAGTAATCTTGGGTTTATGACCTAACTCACTTTTTTCTGAGGCCTGTTAACTGAGCAGGACAAATAAACAAACACAGAATCACCTCCATCTGTGTCATGGAGGTGAACTTTTTTTTTTAGAAACTTTGAACTCGCCTGTGTCTTAAACATCAAAGTATTAGGTTGATACATTACTTTGCTAAAGTATTCATACCAATTGCACATATTTTCAATTTTAAAGTCTTGCCATAAAGTTTCCATTGAGTTTACAGGTCTGGACTTTGTGCCATTTCAGCACAAGCATATTCTAGTGACTCAGTTCTGTTCAGGTTTTATGTGTAAGACTGTGTCGCTACTCGAAAGTGAAACTCTGCCTCATTTTTTCTTTTTTGCCAACTTCATCCATCTTTGCATCAACTCTAAGCATTTATCAGAATTAACAAAAGCAATTCAACAAAGTGATGCTGTGACCATGTTTCTTTGTGGTACCGTGTTGGTGAAAGACGTTGGTCTGATCTGACCTGGACACCTTCTTCCAAATGATTACTTTGTACCCTTCATGGCTGGTGACAGATGGATTTTTTAAGCAATATCTGTCTTCTTGCCACTCTCCTGTATCTGTCACGTTACCAGAATGCACATCAAATTGTTTCCCCCTGTACAGATTATTTTACCTAAGAAGCTGGAGCTCCTCCAGAATCAGTTACACACAAGTCCAGACTCTGGTTACTCATTAGGAAACTTCTGAAGGCAATTTGCACTGAATTTTATTTTGAGGCATCTATGTAGAGGGAAAATCTAAAATTATTAGTGTATGTTCAAATTGGATAGGTCACATCATAATAAATTGTGCTTATAACTAAATTTGAAAATGTTCAAGAGGTCTGAGAATGCTTGCAAGGTGCTGTATGTTAGCCTAGAGTTATTTTCACATTTTATCATCATCATCATCATCATCATCATCATCATCATCATCATCATCATCATCATCATCATCCTTTTATTCCAGACACATGAAAAGGTCCCGAATAAAGACATAATACAAACACATACAACAGATAAATAAGATATTAGGTTCTAAAAGAAGTACACAGCACATAATATTGTTCACTGAGTCACAAATAAATGATGCCAATGATTCCACAATCTTGAGGCAAATCTAACTGTACACAGTGATGGGTTTACTAAAATTCTAATTATATTATATTTATATATACTTTTTTTATACTGTAAGTTGTAATTCCCCTGTGAACCAGTTTACACTGTGTAATAATAATAATAATAATAATAATAATAATAATAATAATAATAATAATAATAGAAATAATATATAAGCTCCTTGAATTACTTTTTCTTTGTAAGAGTATTTCATTCAAATACAACTAAGAACAATTGTAATAACTTTGAGGTGACTGTAGAATTATAAATGTTTAAACTGCCTTTAAATGAGAATTTCATTTATTTGTCAAGGGACAGTGTAATCCATATTATACAATGTAAATTTCCCAGAATGAGAAAATGAGAATATTGTGAAAATGTTGAACATAGCTTCCAATGTTGAACTTTTTGACAGTATTTTTCATTTCTGACACTTAATATATATGCCGTATTCATCAAAATTGCTAAAAAAAAGTATATCTTGAAATGATTTGCTCTGTGTAATGAATCCATAAATCAGATAGATTTCATATTCTGAAATGAGTGAAAAAAGTGACTTATTTCACTATATCCTATTATTTAGAAAAAAAAAAAACTTATTTGCCCAAACTATTAAAAAGTACTTTAAACCAAGAACAATAAGTCAGAAATTGTTCAACTTCCAACTAATTGAAAATGAACAATTCAAGAGTGGATAAGCACTGGATCAGTTTCAAAGTCTATCTTTCAATCTTCTACTGACATTCTTAAGGAGATGACAAACAATCTTACAAACATCAGACAAATATATTTGCATGCAAACAAAAAGCTAGAGCAGATTATAGCATCATACATATGAGTTTGAGGACTCAGGTTAACTCTTTCATGTCTTTAGATTTATGCAATCTGAAGACAGATTTTGGAGAAAGCAACTTTGATCATTTTCTTTGCTGCCCATCTGAACAGTTCTTCAGAACTTAATAAGTCAACCAACTTCAGCCCAGATTTTAAATTAGTTTCTTGTTACTTTGCAAACTGAGACGCATTTTTATAGTGGTGGACATTACTCTTCTTTACAACCCATTTTGTTTTTAAAGCTTTGCATGTCCAACATTGCAAAAATAGTTTCATTGAAGTAAAAAAAATATTTATAACTTCCTTGTGCAGAACAGAAATCCATCAGTTACGGACCAAGGTGCTAATAGAATCCTAATGGTGAATGGGGGAGCATAGAAAAGCTGAAGTCTTCTATCGCCACATGCTTAAATATTTTTTTAGCAGATTTCCTCTTTTGAGACCTGCTGACTTGTGCCATACAGAATCATTTGGACTGAACACAAACCACTGTTAATCCCTTGGTATTTCCAAAATGTTACATACATCTTTCTGATAATCTCTTTGTCCGAAAGACAGATCTTGTGATGATTGGAATGGGAGAGAGTAATCTAGTCTTAACAGATAAGATCTGCCCGGGATTTTGGCAGCAGTACTTCCTTTCGTTTCTCCTCACACCAGAAGAACAGTGTGGCAATTTATTATGAATGAACACTTAACAATAGGACCTGCTGAAAACTCTCATGACTTCAACCTTGTGGTGTTGAATTTATCAATATTAACAAGACAACAACACAAAACTGGAGATCAGTTTTATCTTTTGATAATTTCTAAATCCTGTCCTCATGGTTATTATTTTTTAGCAAAAGTAGATTAAGTGAAAAATATGCCATTTCAAATAATCATTACTTTTTCATCTACTTTGGTTTTTCAGGGTTACATGTCTTTGTTCTATTTGAGGTTCTCTGTCTAAAAAGAGAAGAAAGCAAATTTTTTAATTTTGATTCAGGTTTCTTTCTCTTCAAGGACAGAAGAGTCCATCTTGGTAGAGATTCCATATTGAGCCATAAAAAAACAAACATTTTTATAAGAATGTATTTTTATCATAACTAGTGCTTGTAAGATCTTGCTTATGGAAAAAATAAGATCAACTTATCCTTTCATTATCCAAAGCCTTTGAGTTCAGAATGATGTCAGCAGGAGTAATGACACTGTGTAGAGTTGGAAAAGAATGTTAATTAAAGCAGCTACTAATTATTTAAATTATTTATTATTTCCAT